GTGCTGGGATTAAAGGCGTGTGCCACCACCTCCCGGCTATGACTTGGGTGCCACTATCCACAGTGACTGGGGCCTCTGGCTGTGGTAGTATCTTCCGGGGCCCCAATGATGAAGTTCACCCCTATGCTATCCTCTTTAGAAGTCGGTGTCACAGCCACACTTGGGGTGGGAACCATCTACCAAAAGCAAGGATCTACACAACGGTGTGCTGTGAGCTTTGCCAGGGATCCAAAGATCTGGGAAACAGTTCAAAGAGTGGGCCTATCACAAGCAGAGGGACCTGCTCAACCCTTTCCTGGCTCCTCAGATTATCTGCGCCCCTCTGATTGGCACCAACTGAGTGTTTATTGTTGTTGCCATTGTTATTATTTGTTTTTGTTTGTTTGTTTGGGTTTTGTGGGGTTTTTTTGGGGGGGTTGGAACTATTTTATATCTCTATATATCTGATATTTTAGGAGGAAAGGGCTGCAAATGGGGAAATTGGAGAAACTCTGTTTAAGATTCAGGCTTTGAGTCACAGACCCTTAATCCCTGAACTCCAGAGGCGGGGAGGCAGGCTGACATCTACTAGTTCAAGTTCCAGCCCAGATGAAGAGGACTGTAGCTAATAAATTTTTTCTTTCTTTCTTTCTTCCTTCCTTCCTTCCTTCCTTTTTTTCTTTCTTTTTTTCTTTTCTCTTTTTTTTTGAAACAGGGTTTTTCTGTGTAGTTGTGGCTGTCCTGGAACTTCCTTTATAGACCTCAAACTCACAGAGTGAGTTCCCAAGTGCTAGAATTAAAGGCAGGCGCCACCACCGCCCAGCTTTCTTTTTATCTCTTGCAGGTCACTGATAAAATGCTTTCTCCTTAGAAACACTCTCCCTAACGAGATGCTTGGCCTTGATCATTAGTTTGACAGGTTCCCAGTTGCCTAGGAAGCACGCCTTTTAGGTGTGTCTGTGAGAGTGTTTCTAAAGATGAACAGTTGACAGGGAAAGACCTGCCCTCCTCGTGAGTGGCACCCTTTAAGATGTGGCCCAGATATAAAGACGTCTAAGGCAAGAGCAGTGTGAGCCTGCCTGTCTGTCTTTGCTGCCGCCTTCCTCTGCTAACATCAGAATCCAGCATTGTCAGCCTTCCGAAGTGGGTTTGTTACCAGCGCCTCTCTAGGGTACTTTCAGGCTTTTAACCCTAGATAGGGACTTCTGAGACACCCAGCTTTGTGTACAGAAACCTTTCATTAAAGGGATGTGTTGTATACATGATCAGGCTCAAGTCCATGCTGCAGGCATGAGCAGGTTCCACAAAGTGGCCCAGATGCTTACCGTTCCTCTTCCTGCTGTAGCATCTTCTACCCCCAAGCATGTGCCTTCATCCTCAAGAGATGTGCAGTGTCGATTACTGAGGAAGAGAAGACTGGGCCTGGTCTATAGATGGTCCTGAACACCATGCAGGCACCGCCTGGACATGGACAGCTGCCGTATCATGGTGTGTGCTGTGGCTCCGATACAAAGAGCTCCCGTACCATAAGGGCTCATGTTTGAACCCTTGCAGCATCCCCCACCACCCGTGGTGCTGTTTGGGAAGTTATAGAACTTTTAGGAAGTGAGGCCTTGTTGGAGGGCTGGGGAGTTACCGTGGACCTTGGGGCTTCGTAGCCTGGTGCCACTTCCTGTTCACACTTTGGTCTCTGAGTGTCACCTTGCTTCCCTGCCTGATGCCCTGCCTTTTCAGACAAGATGGACTGTATCTCTCCAAAACTGTAAGCCACAAACAAACAAAACCCTTTCTCCCATGAGTTGCTCTCGTCAGACTATTTTTATCATAGTTACTATAAAGACATCATGAAACCACACTTTTGTTTTTATTAGGGAGGCAAATGGACCCTAGAACACTGATCTCCTCTGTGGATTAATACACTGAGTTCAGAGAAGGGGCTATTGGGGTGGGGTCTAGCTGGAGGGATGGGTCTCTGTTCTCTCCCTCCCCCTCTCCCTCCCCAACTCCCTTTTCCTTTCTCTACTGGTTTCTTGGAGGTAAACCACTTTCCTTTACCATGAACTTCCTCCATGACGCTTCTGCCTTGCCATGGGCCTAAAACTAATGCACTGGACAGCCATTGACTTAAACCTATGAGACCATAAACAAATCCGATTTCCTCTCTTGAGCTTTTTGTCACAGCATCATCAACAACAACAAAACCTAACATCCAGTTTATCTTAGAGTGTGATGCAAGAGAGAGGGGGCAGCCGGGCGGTGGTGGCGCACGCCTTTAATCCCAGCACTCGGTAGGCAGAGGCAGGCGGATCTCTGTGAGTTCGAGGCCAGCCTGGTCTACAAGAGCTAGTGCCAGGACAGGAACCAAAAGCTACGGAGAAACCCTGTCTCGAAAAATCAAAAAAAAAAAAAAAAAAAAAAAAAAAAAAAAAAAAGAGAGAGAGAGAGGGGGCAGTGAAGAGAGGCAGGCAAATTCATAGAAGTATCAGTTGACTGTAGTGAATTCGGTGCTTGTTTGCAGGATGGCAACTGAGTCAGCTCTGACAGCTCCTCCCCAGAGTCAGAGACTGGCGATGGGAGAGCCACACTGCCAGAGTTCAGCAGAAGAGCAGAAGCATCCTTTCTGTGGTGTGGCTTCTTTGTGGGTCTGATCCCCTACCTCGTGGTTCTCAACCTTCCTAATGCTACAACCTTTTCATACAGTTTCTTGTGTTATGTTATGAACCATAAAATTGATTCATTGCTAACTCATAGCTGTAATTTTGCTACTGTTATGACTCTTTAAGGTAAATATCTGATATGCAGGATATCTCATATAGGATCCCCAAATGGGGTCATGGCCCACAGGTTGAGAACCACTGATCTAGCCTGCTTTCATGGCCTGCCTATGTTTCTAACTTGATTCTTTACCCTTTCCTTTAAGATGCATTATTATTTTAAAACCCTGTGTGTGTGTGTGTGTGTGTGTGCGCGCGCGCACGTGCATGCACAAGAATATATGTGTGCACACTCACCTACCTGTATGACTCTGAACCTGTACACAGTAGCACGAGGATGCCAGAAGAGGGCAGCAGATCCACCTGGAGCTCGAGTTCTAGATGGTTGTAAGCTGCCAATGTGGGTGCTGGGAACTGGAAGAGTTGCATGCACTCTTAACTGCTGAGTCACTCAAGCCTTCTCTTTAGACTTTTCTAGAGATTCAGTGAGCTCCCCGAGGAGTTTTTTAAATGTATTCCATTTCTGCTTCTGTTAGCCAGTATCAGTTTTTGCTACTACTGAAGACCATAGCAGCCTAACTATTCCATCATTTCTAGATATACTTAACCCCAAAGAGCATGATCTTGCAGTGTATAGTATCTCTAAATAAATCCATGATTATTTTGCAACTGGTTTTGGAGTTCTGTCTGGGTTCCGTGTCAGTCTTGCGTGCCTCAGGAAAAAGGAGAAACAGCAGCAGATAGGGTAACTGTCCTTTGATTCTCAAAATACGTGTTGTCCCTATCCAAATTGCATCTCTCTCTCTGACTTTCACAATTCTTAGTTTGTACTCTTATCCACCCACTCAACAAACACTAGTTCAGCGCGCGAACTGTATCTATGGCAGTATGCCAGCTACTGAAGAAATCCAAAGATCAATGAGAAACAATCTTGAGAATACGCTTTTGAATTTTAAATGAGACAAATGTATTTTTTTTTCAGTAGGTAAAGTTTAAAGATTGATTGCTCTTGGAGAAAGAAGTACAGGAGAATCCTTTTTATCTTTGGGTTTTATCTTTGTACGAGGGGGAAGTGATGTTTATGTCTTTGTAAATGTTCGAGAAATCATTATTTAAAAAACAAAAACCCAGGCCAGGTGTAGTTTGCGTGCCTTTAATCCCAGCACTTGGGAGAGGCAGGCAGGTTTCTGTGAGTCCGGGACCAGGCTGGTCTATATAGTGAGTTCCAGGTCATGGCTACCTAGTGAGATGCTGTCTTTGGATAAATAATTCTAGATAGAGCCGTCCCCACACACAAGCTTAGGTTATCCGGATAAAAAATGTTTTGTCAATTTCACAGTAATTTGCATTTCCAACTATGAGTTCGATGTCTAGCACAGGAGGCTATGGCTCCTGGGGACCCTGTCTGTAGAATTAACCTCTGAGTTTTCGGTGCCCAGAAGGGACCCTCGTTCACTGTAATATGAAATAAAATATCAGTATGGCCAAGAAGAAACCACTGGCAGCTTTGTGTGCTCCACGGATGGAATTCACAAGTCCCAGCTAAGGTTAGGTTTTGGTCAACTTGACACCAGCTAAGGTTATCTGGGAAGAGGGAGCCTCAGTTGAGAAAGTGCGTCTATCGGATTGACCTATAGGTAAGTCTGTGGGGTTATTTTCTTGATTAACGATTGCTGTGGGCGGTCCCAGCCCTGTGGGTGGTGACACACTTGAAGCCCTGGGAGAAGGCAAGCCAACAGCATTCCTCTATGGTCTTTGCTTCAGTTCCTGCCACCAACTTCCTGCCCTGCTTGAGTTCCTGCCTTTGTGTACTGTGATCATGATACTGAAGTCCTCTCCCCAAATTGCTTTTGGTCATGGTGTTAAAAACAGCAATAGAAAACAAACTAAGACACGGCCCTCGAGCTCAGTGATTCGGGTACCAGCACTGAGACCCTTTCCCAGGAAGAGGGCCCACGAGCAGACTCGTCACCCAAGTGCGGTGGGAGTGGGGTTTTGAGCAGTCGGGCAGGTGAGTTGGCAGGTGGAGCGCTGCCCCGCCCTCAACCCGCGGAGGCGAGGCCCGGGAACGCCCTCTGTCTCTGGGTGACTCAGGGAGCGCGCGGCAAACAAACTGGCCCCAGAGTGGCAACTGACAAAGGCGGGGGGCGCGCTCTGCGCGTGCACAGCAGGCAGCGGAGCCTCCCAGAGCCCTGCTGCCCGAGCCCAGCGGGTGCAAGAGACACCGGAGGGCGCGTGCGCGGTGAGTCCAGCCCGGCGACAGGATGCCGCCAGGACGGCTGCGGGGAAACAGCTGCCGGACAGATGAGGAGCGCGAGGTGGGGGGCAGAGAGGCGGGGTGCGGCTGGGTCCCAGGTCCCAAGGTGCTGGGTCTCCAGCCTCTTAAGAGCTCAATCCACCCGATCCAGGTGGCTCCACCGCGCCCCTTTCTGGGTGAGAAACAGGTCCAGGAAGGTAAGCTGAGCTAGAGCAAATTACTGTTCTGTATTTACTTATTTTTTTTTTTTTTTTTAAAAATCTCGTTGCCTGTGTCGGATGTGAGGCGGCTTTTCATAAGAAGCCATTCATTAAGACAAAGGAAAGATTCAAACAACGGCAAGGAATCCAGGCTAAAAACATACTTTTGAGTAGACTGGCAAGGCCGGGGACGAAAAGATCAGAAATCCGAGCTGGATTGAAGAGAGTGTTGGCCCGGTAGAGAAGTGCTGTCAGAACTGGGTCCAGGAAGCGAACTGAGGCTCCTGAGTGCTGGCCAATTTGAGGTGGAAAAGCGCCCCTTTGGCGCAGGTGCGCACTCTTGGCCCTCTGGAGGTCAGTGGTCCCGAGGAATAACTGTCCACTGAACATTCAGGGCAGAACTTCTGCGAACAGTTCGTTCCATAGCAGAGAGGGAGCCGGTGCCAGAGTAGGCAACCTTCTGATCTCCCATGTGAACTGGGAAGACCAGTTCACCTTTTTCCAGGCCCAGTGCCTTGCCCTCCACGTTGTTTTGAGTGGAAAGCCTGGTTGCTTGGCACGCAGTTCGTGCTCAACAGAAGGGCTGATGCTGATAATCCAGTCAAACACGGCTGTGCCAGTTAGGGACGACCTGGAAAGAATTGGACTGTTTACAAAGTAAAATAAGATGAAAACTTTAAAACGTGTGTACATGAGTTGGGGAGATCGCGCAACAGGTAAAGCCCGGCAAGCATGAAGGCTTGACGTCGGATGCCCGACACACACTTAAAAGCCCCACTCTTCGGGGGAGTCTGTAACTCCAGCCCAAGCGGTGGAGGCAGGCAGAGATAAAGAGTTCCTTGAGGCTTGCTGTCCAGCCACCCTAACCAAATAGGTGAGCTTCAGGTTCAGTGGGAGATCGCCAAACAATAGGGTGTAGAAAGACCAAGGAAGTTATCCTGCCAGGACCTCGGGCCCCCACTCACATGCACCGCCCCAAAGACAAAAATGTACCCATGAAAGTAGAATAAAATCAACGATAATAGTGACTTGCAAAACCCAGCACATACCTTGGCGAGAGTACCTTATAATTGGCGAGAGTACCTTTAAATAAGGGTATAGTGTTGTACTCCACTATTTATTTGTTGATTGATTGATTTTTATGAGACAAGATTTCTCTGTAGCTTTGGAGGTTGTCCTGGAACTCGCTCTGTAGATCAGGCTGGCCTCAAACTCAGACATCTGCCTGCCTCTGCTGGGATTAGAGGCATGCACCACTACCGCCCGTTTCCATTCACTATTTTTTAAATACTTGTATTTATTTTAATTATATGCATGTGTGTGTCTGTGTGTGGGTATGAGCATGTGAGTGCAGGTACTCTCTCAGGTCAGATGCCTCCTATCCCCATGGCTACAGGTGGTCAGGAGCTGCATGACTTTGCCAAGGGGAATTGAACTCGGGTCCTCTGGAAGAGCGGCAAGCATTCTTAATCATTGAGCCCCTTCTCCAGCCCCTCAGTTCACTATATGACCCAAAGTCAAAACTGCAAATGGAAACCACCAGACGTTCTAACAAGGATGGTTCTTAAGCATTGCTTGCCTCTTTCAAATGGGGCCAGAAACTTATGGTGTGTTTTTAAGTGAGGGAAAGAGGACATGAACTGGGACCTGGCAACACCGTTCTTGTTCAGACACATGGGCTCATTGAATTTCTGCCGGGGCACAGGATTCACCAGCAGCTGGCTCACATCTCCCTTGGCTCAGCGGATTACTGTGGTAAACAGTGCTTTGGTTGATTCTGCTCCAGCTCAAATCAATGGCTTTTTATTTAACTATGGAGGAGGGGGGTGTGTCCGAGTGCTGTCCCCAAAGCATCATGGCATTTATCAAGCTTGCCGCGCCACAGCCTGGCATTTGTTTATTGATGGGCTGAAGAACTTTGAATCTGTGGACCTGGGATTGTGAAGTCACCGTCTGGGCAGATCCACAGGTCTATAAAAAGACCTGTTCTTTAAAAATAAAAAATACCGCATGGCCTCCTTTCTCTACCTTTCAGCCTTCCAAGGAGAGCCAGAGAAGGGTAAATAGCTGTTGCTGTTTAATTTGGGTTAAGACACATACCACCTGTCTGCCCATGCATTTACAACGAGAAGGAAGTGTGTGTGTGTGTGTGGGTGTACGTGCGCGCGTGCACTGTGTGCATGTGATGTATTTGCTCTTTCCCACCTTCGTATCCCTGTTTTCTTAACTCACAGGGGTCCTTTTTCTTCGACATGATTATTTCTGTACTTGTACTACGGTTTTGTTTCACAGTTGTTTTTTATTTTTTTATTTTTATTATTTTGTGTATATGGCCTGCAAGTATGTCTGTGTACCACATAAAGCCAGAAAAGAGCACCAGATTCCCTGGAACTGGCTTTAAAGCCAGTTTTGAACAGACACATGGGTGCTGGTGATTGAATCCAGGTCCTCTGGAAGAGCCATCAGTGCTCTCTAAATAGCTGAACGATTGCTTCAGCCCACAGTTGTTTCTAACACTTTGAATTTTCTTTTTTAAATTAGACCTTTAGACTTCAGCTTTAGGTCCTCCATAGAGGACCATCTATAGCAAAAGGCTTCCTGTTTCAGCAAAAGGCTCCTCCTTGTCTGATGACAGTGGTGTGTCCCCCTATTCTTCCCTAAGGCCCACTTACTACATTCCCAGCAGAACAGAATTTCTCAAGAAATGATCTGTAGAATATTTGCATCCAAAAACTCCTGGACATATGCTAAAATGCTTCAGCCCAGGCCACTGACTCAAAACCTTTTAGGGGAAGTTCTGTGCCTAATACGTGTGAGTTTCTGAAGATTCTCATTCCCTGTGGTTACCTGTGTGCTGCAAGCGGTGGTTAGGTGGTTAGCGTGGAGGGCTGTGCCCTCTTGTTTCCACCCCTCTGTGGTGTTTACTTCTATGATGAGCAATAGCCTCATTTGTAATTTAAATATTAACAATTTAAATAGCACAACTTTAAATTATTTTAGTTTTATTTTGTAATTTTATACATTTAATATATAATTTAAATTTAAAGATGTTGTTCAAGAAAATATATGGGTGGCAGTTAAGTGCTTGAGCGGGTACTCACGGTTATCAACCTCAGAGAAGTGAGAAAGACTGTGACCGTGTCAGTGGTGACCAGGAAGCAGAGTAGATGAGCTCACACTGCTAACAGACATGTCAACCGGAAGACCACTTTACAAAGGCTGAACATTTCCGTGTAAGTTAAGGAACCCTACCATGTGACCCAAACCTTCCACTACCAAGTCCAGCTCTGTAGTAACAGAGGAAAAAAATTAGGTACCAGAAAACAACCAGTTGTTCATCCAGTATGTTGGTGACCATATCGTCATATTGTACAGACAAGCATATACCCGTAACATGTATATCCACAGCAACGTATGTATGTCCATAGCAGAATATTATGTACCTGTGAAGGTGGTGAGGTAATACTACATGCTGCTGCTTGGTCAGATCACAACGTAAGTTTTCTGAGAGAGAGACAACCATAGAGAATACATAACGTCTGGTTCCCTTTGTATACAATTCGAGGGGAATTGCTATTCCTTTTCTGACCTCGGATTCTTCAGTGTTTTCCAAGAAGAACCAAAGATTTGCATAAGGTCATATTAGTCTAACTCTGCAGGCAGCAGTATCCCTAGCAACTAAGTCACGGTTCTTTGTGTTCATCCGCATTATTCAGTCAGTTTATTATCAGAGCATGTATTATGTGCTAACTCTAGAGCAGACAGTAAGAACATGCTAGTGAAAAAAATAAGACACAATCCTCTGACCTGGCAAAGTTTGTATTTTGTTGAATGAATCACTGTATAATAAAACAAATAAGTAAATTTATTATTGAGGACAGGCATGATTCTTCAGAAAGGGCATCAGAGTCAAGAACACTGGTCTAGGTTTTTTTTTTTAATATTTATCATTGTGCACGTCCACATTCACATGTATTAATGTTTGTTTTGTGCATGTTTCTGTGTGTGTGTGCTGGGCATCCAACTCAGGGCCTTGTACAAGCTAAGCATAAAACCTACCCCTGAGCACACAGCCCAACCCTCATTCCCCCCCTTAAGATTTTATTAAAGATATGTCTATTTTTAAATTTTATTTATTTTTACTCGTATGAGTGTTTTTGCTGTATGTGTGCCTGTACACCCCATGTGTGCTTTGTGCCTGAGGAGAGGGGACATTTATCTCCTGGGATTAGAGTTACGGACAGTTGTGAGCTGCCCTGTGGGTGCTGGGAATTGAAACAAGTGCCCTGGAAGAGCAGCCGGTGCTCTTAACCGCTCATCTATCCCTCCAGCCCCTACTACAGGTGTTTCTCAAAGGTGAGTACTAGCCGTCACGTTTTAAAGACCACGGTCTGCTACTGCCAGGCATCCTGTCAGGAGCCTGCCTTGCTCCTCCAGGAGGAAGGTGGAATTTGAATTTAGATGGTCTCTGAGATAGGAAACACTGGAGAGATTAGTGGATGTTGGTAAATAGGACAAAAATAAGTTGGTTTTTTTTTTTTTACCAGTTTTTTCTTTAAGAATTAAAAAATTGATTTCACAATCTCATACATGCATACAATGTATTTTGATCATATACACACCTAACTCCCCATTCCACTCTCTCTAGACCCCACACCCCTTTCCTACCTCATGTCTCCCCGTTTTTTTTTTGTTTTTTTTTTTTGGTTTTTCGAGACAGGGTTTCTCTGTGGCTTTGGAGCCTGTCCTGGAACTAGCTCTGTAGACCAGGCTGGTCTCGAACTCACAGAGATCCGCCTGCCTCTGCCTCCCTAGTGCTGGGATTAAAGGCATGCGCCACCACCGCCCGGCTCTCCCCGTTTTTAATACTCCATGAAGTTCAGTTAGTTCTACCTGTGTGTGCATAGATATGTAGCCATACCCCCAGAAATAAAACACCCCTCCCCAGGCCACAATCCTTTAGCTAAGGGTAGGGCTTCATGATCCCCTCCCCAACCCATGCTGCAGTGTTGACTGTCTTGCTCTTGGGCAGGTAACCCCAGTTGTGAATTTGTGAGTATCACTGGGACACATCATGTCTGGAAGACACCTTTCGCAGCACCCCCCTCCCCCCACCTCCAGCTCTTACACTCTTTCCATCCCTTTTTCTGCCACGTTCCCTGATCTCTGCAAAACGTGGGACTCTACAGTTGCTTGTCCTCAGCGGGCATTAACTTTGGCCCACTGTAAAAGGAAGCCTCTCTTGCTAAGGTTGAGAACAACACTAAGGTATGGTAATAAATATTTAGAAGGCAGTTTGACAACTTGTCTATTCAATAAACCCAAAGTGGTAGGTTCCCCATTAGGGCATATGGCCTTTGACGGGATTACAGTGCCAGGCATTAGTTCCTCCTGGGCAGACCTCAAATGCAATCAAAAATCAGTTGGTTACTCACTCTAACAGCCATGCCATTATTGCACCGGGGGTACAGCCTGCTTGGCCAGCTTTATCACTTTTTAGTGCGCATGACTGCCATTCAGTGCATATTCCCCCAGCTTCCACAATCACATCTTTTGTTTCTTCTTTTTAAGGATGTCCTGAGAGAATCACAAGACCTCCCTGAGCCAGCTTGCTGGACTACATAGACTACAGCATTCCTTTGATCTACTGATGCTGCTGACTGTCAGGAAGGGAATGAGGACAGTCTGGTATGGCCTGTCTTCTGTGGATTTTGTTTGTTTTGTTTTTAAAACCCTTTTATTAGTCTGTGCTGACTCCCAGTGACCTATTTCCTTCCAAGGGCTAAAAAAATCATTTGTTTTAATCATGTGGCAGAAATCCAATCCAGAGTGCCGTAAGCCAAAGTGGAGGGAGAGAAGAAAAATATATTAGCTCTTGTGAAAATAAAACCCCCAAAGAATCAATCTCCATTATGACTGGGTTGAGTTGCAGCCTCAGCACTCAGTCTCTGTCAGTCTCTCAGTTCTATTTTTGGGGAAATAGCTGTAATTTCAGGTTATAACTCATAGTTCTTATTACCACTGATGATGACGATGACGATAATTATTTTTGTCATGATTAGCAGTTCTGAATCCATTTACTGAGTTTGATTGGTTAGACCTAGATCAGCCGGCAAGTATCCATAGGTAACTTTTCATCCTCCTGGCCAATGATAATAACTAGCTTTCTTTCTAGCTTAATAAAAAATAGCAAATAACCAGCGAGATCTTATTGTGTTCCAGGCACCGTGTTAGATATCTGCAAATGAAATATTCTAAGAACCCCATAAGGATGGTTAGATAAGCATGCTGGGAAAGGCAACACATTGATCACAGAATCAGAATTTCCAACCAGTTGCTGGGTGTGGTGGAACATTGCCTGTGACCCTGAAGCTTGGGAGGTGGAAACAGAAGGATCAAGAGGAGTGGCTATGTGAGAAGTCAAGCCAGTTTGGGCCACATGAGACCCTGACTCAAAAAGTCTAAAAACAAAACAGTAAACAAAAAACAATTTGAAATTAGGTTTTCTTGGCTCCAGGCCTGGACTCTGAGCCGTCACAGTCCCCTCTCACACAGTCCCTTTTAGGACCAAGAAGACAAACCAGGAGGCAACAAGTCATATGCCTGTTTGGGAGTATCAATATTTCCCCCTTTTATTGAAAATAGATTTTATTTTCTCTCACATAATGTACCTTGATTACAATTTCCCCTCCGTCCCCTCCTAGTTCCTCTCCACCTCCCCTCCCATCCGGATCCACCCCCTTCCTGCCTCTCTTCAGAAAACAAACAAGCTTCTAAGGGATAGTAATAAAATAAAATATAATAAGAAAAAAACTCTACCAATACATTGGAATAGGATAAAACAAGAAAGCAGAAGGGAGAGAGAGCTTGTTCACACACTCAGGAGTCCCATAAAAACATTAAACTGGGAGCCATAATGTGTACACAGAGGACCTGTAAGAAGAGAGAAGAAAATAATTTGTAAATAAAATAGAACTAAAATAAAAAAATAAAATTTTAAAAAAGAAAAAAGAAAGCCTTGGCATTATGGGACAAGGAATCTCTGAAGATGCCGTTGGGTTTCTCTGTGGGCTGTCTACTGCTGGGCACAGAGCATGAGTCTTAAGACTGCACTTAGCAGTGGGGCTTGAGAGATGCCAGTTAAAGGCCCTGGCTTTGCAAGCCCGGTGGCCTCAGTTTGATCCCCACAACCCACTCAGGAAGCTGGAACAGCACTCACTGGGAAAGCCGGCACTTTTGTGGTAGATGGAAGGTGGAGACGGGACTCTCTGGAAGGTCAAAGGTCAGCTAGCCTGGTGTACAAGGCCTAGCATCAAACAACAAAGACCCTGTCTCAAATAAGGTGGAAGAAAAGTCCTCTGACCTCTCTGAGTGTGCCTGTATGCAAACACAGAAAGACAGACAGACAGACAGACACATACCCACATGGATACACTTAATAGTCATAATAGGGACAGAGCTTAGGAGGTGATTAGTATAATTTTTCCAGTTTCAGACCTTTCTGAGTTTGAGAGCTGGAAGCTCCTTGTATAGGGCTGTGTCTCCTGATGCTGTAGGGGTCTCATCAACCAGGCCCTTTAGCCGGGGTCCCCCAACCCGGCCACTGTCGTCTCTACAGTGCTCTCTCTTTTACTGTCATGGCTCCTGACCTTTACCTTGGACAAACCTTCCATGAACCATCCCCAAATCTCAGACTGTAGGTCTCATGCTTTTTTTTTTCCTGGAAATTGAACTCAGGTCATTAGGCTTGGTGGCAAGTACCTTGCCCTCCTTCCTTCTGCTTTGTTGCGGGAGCTTCTTCCGCTCCCGCAACACTGCTTGTCTAATGGCTATATCTTGTTTTTTTTTTTTTTTTGGTTTTTTTGAGACAGGGTTTCTCTGTAGGTTTGGAGCCTGTCCTGGAACTAGCTCATGTAGACCAGGCTGGTCTCGAACTCACAGAGATCCGCCTGCCTCCGCCTCCCGAGTGCTGGGATTAAAGGCGTGCGCCACCACGGCTATATCTTGTTTTAACACAGAAATACTCGTCAGGAAATGGACATTTGCATAATACATGTATATGAAGCCTTGTTACCTTATTTCCTATAAGTTCTGCTCCCTCTGCATCTGGCTGGCAGCTCCCATGTCTCCTGGTAACTCCTTCCCCTTTTCTTTCCAGTCTCTCATGTGTATCCACTGTGTACGAAAGTATTTCACGGGTAGTGATAAATAGATGTCTTTTTTTGTTTGTTTTTTGTTTTTGATTTTTCAAGATAGTGTTTCTCTGTGTGACAGCCTTAGCTGTCCTGGAATTCACTCTGTAGTCCAGGCTGACCTCGACCTCACAGAGATCCACCTGCCTCTGCCTCCTGAGTGCTGGGATTAAAGGTGTGCACCACCACCGCATGGTTTGATGTCTCATTTTAAAAGAAACTGAGAAGTTATTTTCCAGGGTATTGTACCCAGGAGGAGTTAGAACCATGAGGAAAAGGCAGATGAAGGGTAATTGTCGTGGAATGTTCTAGATCTTGGCTCTATCAGTGTCAGCAGATCAGTTGTACTGTATGTAGTTTTGCAACTGATCATGTGAGATATTGCATAAATGGCCATGTAACTTCTCTTTGTGTTTCTTTTTATAATTTAAAATTTACATTTCTTTATTGTGTGCATGTGGAGGTCAGAGGATATCTTGTAAGAGTTGGTTCCTTTCTTTCATGATGTGTATCCTGGGACTAGAACGTCTATCTTCAGACTTGGCAACAAAAGCCTTTACCCACTGAGCCACCTCACTGGCTTCTGCTTCTTATTGCTATGTATGCATTTGAGCTGCATACCCAGCTCATAAGTTGTTTATTATTATTAATTTACAGAAAAATTGAAAAAAATCTCATTTATTCCAGTTAACTTTCAGTTTAACTTGGGCTGACAAATTGGTTCAGTGGGTAAAAGGCATTTGTCCCCAGAACTCACAACTTCCACGCTTTCCCTCAGAAGGTTTGCTATTTGAGTCTTCTGAAATAAACTGCCAATAGATCAACAGGAGAAGATCACCACAGGTGTATTTGGTCATAGTTTTAGTCTGACACAGAGGCTCCAGACTCGGAAGCTATCTGACTTTGATCCACATGTTGAAATATGACTGGAAAGAACGAGGCGTGAGCCAGTGAGAACACACTGAATGGAGCCCCCAGGAGGCCTGTTTGGGACTGGCACTTTGTGCACAATATTTCTTCCTCCAGAGACGGGACAAGATTCTTTTGTCTTTTCTGCAAAAAAATTGCTATAAAAATTTTTTGGTCTTATTGGTTTCTTAGTTTTCTATGGATTGTCTGTGTAAATGCCCCCCCAATTTAAAGACCATATTCCATGTTACTTTAGTAACTCTGTTCTCAAGATATTTTCGAACCTTCTCTAGCCCTGACTCTTTTCCATTTGCCTGGAGCCAGCTGTCAATTCTAGTGTCCCCTCCCCTTCCCTAAGGATCCCTCTGACTCTTCTCCAGCATGTGTATCAATATTCTTCATCTTTCTCATTCTTGACTTATTTCTTTGGTGGGTGAATGTTTCCCCCCTGACTCATCATTTTACAGAAGGACCTTGTTTTCTGGTAAGTTCCCGGCTGGCTGAGATTGGTTTCTGATCATTTCCTTGTCCTCCTCCACTGTGGGCCACAATGGCACCAGCTCCCTCTCACCCCTGCTCTGATTTCATTCCCTGGAGATTTGGCTCATGTTTTTGTAAGCCCAGCCCTGCAGTTCAAGTTACATTCGTTTTGGCACCTCTAAGCGTTTGGTAGTAGAAAGATTTTTTAGGTCTTTTTGTTCATATGACTGCTCTATCTATATAGTTTTAAAATCTAGGAGTTTCAGAGATTAACCGGAGAGGATCGGGAATGTGCTTAGAAAGGAGAAATCTTGGCGACTAGAGGCTGGGAGGGGCACAGCAGGTGCAGAAGCACAGGGGTATAGAGACAAGCCCCCCCCCCCTAGCTGGAGGGGAGAATGAGGTTGAATAGGAGGGAGCTATGAATGCTGTGGGCGTCAGGGAATGAACCAGGATCACAGCTTGCTTCAAGAACTTTAACCCGGAAGCACATCCTGGACAAATGTGAACGGGTGGCAGCACTGGAGAGAGGTCTTGGTTCAGAAAGATGGTCCTAGAACTTTTGGAAATCCCCTCGCAAAGCTGGGCATATGGTGGCGCACGCCTTTTATCCTAGCACTTGAGAGGCAGAGACAGGCGGATCCCTTGAGTTTGAGGCCGTCCTGATCTTCATAGAGTGTTCTAGGACAACCAGAACTACACAGAGAGACCCTGTCTTGAAAAACCAGAAAAAGAAAGAAAATCACCTGGCCATGATGTCTGTGTTGTATCCAAGATGGGAGCCAAGAACTATGAGGAGAAAAGAGAAGAGGACTTAGCTGATCCAAAGAAAGTCTACATCAACAGTTACGCCACCCCTGGGCATTCACCCATAATACTCCTAGTCCACACCGCCCAGAGATATGCGTGGGTTTACTCCAGTGCTTTTTACGGTAGCTAAGTTGGAAACAAGCTACAATGTCCACCAACCAAGGGATGGCATGGCTTTAGATACAGAAGGCTTCTTTAAAGAAGAATGGAATTGTGTCACACGTAAGAAAACACATGCACCTGGGGCTATCACGTGCTGTGGGTCTCAGAAAGACAGGTATCACAGGCACCCGCTCACTTGTGGGTCTTCAGTTCCATATAGGTACAAAGAGGAGGACGTGAAAGGTAAGAGTTGAATGAGGAGGAAGTGGGATCAGAATACACGTATCGATCTACATGTGCATGGTTTTATGAACCCAGCATAATACATGTAGTATCTGCCTCCCGAGTGCTGGGATTAAAGGCGCGCACCACCACTGCCCTGCCCATAATATATTTTCAAAATGAATGAATGAATGAATAAATTATTCTGGGTCCAACTGGGTGGGGGGGGGGGATAAAGGAAATTTCAGGTTAGCACATTGTCTGAGGCCTGGGAAATGAATTTCAGATGTCAGTGATGACCCGAGCTGTTTGTCCTCTCGTATTTAGAGACACTGACCACAAATGCCACCAGTTCATTGACTGTTTAATAAACAGTTGGCTCTATTTGCAGCTAGTGATGTTCCAGGCAACTCGATGAGTAGTCTTCAAGCTAGGGACATCATTTCCCAGGCGACGTCATTTGGAGACCTACCTTACAAGTGGATTTTTTTTTTTTTGATTTTTCGAGACAGGGTTTCTCCGTAGCTTTGGAGCCTGTCCTGGAACTAGCTCTTGTAGACCAGGCTGGCCTCGAACTCACAGAGATCCGCCTGCCTCTGCCTCCCGAGTGCTGGGATTAAAGGCGTGCGCCACCACCGCCCGGCCAACTGGATGTTTTGCTTTGTTTTTCCCAGAACCTGTGGACATGGCTGACGTTGGAGCAGATGAGCTCTCCTCCAGGTCAGAGAGTCCTGAGCCAGGGGACAGGAGCCCGGAGGACCGGTCACTGCTCCATCAGAAGCTGGCCATCAGAGAGCTCATTGACACAGAGGTCTCCTACTTGCACACGCTCCGACTCTGTGCCTCTGACATCAGGAGCCATCTGCACCAGGTACTGATGCAGACCCGACCACGTATCTTCCTAGGAGCAGGTGCGGGCTGCCTCTAAGGTCTCTCCTTACTCCTGGGCTGGCTTGTTGGAAAGGACCCTTGGTGGGCAGGAGCCTGACAAGCCTGGATATAAGCCCAGGGCTTTATTGGTCATGCAACCTTCAGCAAGACCTTGAATGACTCAGATGTGTCCAACTTGTAGCCTAATGGCCATTTGCGGCCAAGGATAGCTGTGAACCTAGCCCAACATAAAATAGTAAAATTACTTAAAACAGTATAAAAATATCATTGTATTCTTTTGTTATTCAATTTTATAGGATTTTAGAGGATTTATTTTTATGTGTATGAGTGTTTGCTATGTTCATGTATTCCCTGTGTGTGCCTGGTGCCTGAGGAAGTCAGGAAGGATGTGGGATCCCCAGGAGCCAGAGTTAGAGTTGGGAGCCACCATGTGGGTGCTAGGAACCTGCATCCTCTTCAAGAACAGAAAGTGAAGAATTAAATGAGCTATTGGATAGGCAAAAAAGGAGCAGGAACCAGGCCATAAAACCTTCAAGTCCACCTCCAATAACCTATTTCTTCCGGTAAGATAAACCCTCTAAAGGTAATATAGCCTTTCCAAATAATGCCCCCAGCTGGGGAATAAGTGTTTAAACTCATCAGCCGGGAACATTCCACATTCAAATCACAACACTAACCTCTGCCTACCTGCAACCTTCCCTCCCCCCACTCCATTCCCGGCACCATCAGCTTTCCTTCTGAGTTGGACGTGATGTCTCCTTTTATTGTAGACTAACGAGGAGGCCTAACTTACAAGATTCCCAAATCTTTCCAAACATCGCATTGGGCAGTCAGTCTTCCCAAGAACAGTAGGACCCCAGATTAGGCAAGTGCTCAGGACTGTTCCCCACCCAGTCTTTGCCCACAGCGATTTCGTTACTTCCAGCTGCCACCTGGAGATTTGGATGTCCTGTTCTCGAACATTGATGACATCATCCAAGTGAGCAGCAGATTCCTTCATGGGCTGCAGGAGACAGCCTGCAGGGAAGAGGAACAGGTGGAGCTGATTGGTAAGCAAAAGACCTGGTGTTCTCTGCCTTGCTTTCCCTGGGCTTTCCCTGGGCTCTGCTCTCAGCTTGTGCTTCTGCCAGAACTGGCTCCAGAGCCCCAGGGAAAAACAACAAAGGGGGAGTCATGGCACAGCAGAGGCAGCAGGGCCCTGTAGAGTGTCTGATCCTCAAGGCCAATTTACCTCTTCCTCAAGATTAAGCTTTTAACGCACGAATTTGGGAAGATGTGTTGAAACCACGTGCTTCCCAGTTTAGTCTCAACATGGTACTGATTTATTTATTTTTGGTTTTTCGAGATAGGGCTTCTCTGTGAAACAGTCCTGGAACTTGGTTTGTAGACCACCAGGCTGGCTTTGAACTTACAGAGATCCACCTGCCTCTGCCTCCCGAGTACTGGGATTAAAGGGGTGCGCCACCCACCACCTGACTTATTTTTTATATGTATGAATATTTTGCCTGCATGCATGTCTGTGCGCCACTTGTGTGCCCGGTGCCTGCAGGGAGCCAGAAGGCATCGAACCTCCTGGAGCTGGATTTACAGAGGGTTGTGAACCCCCATGTGGGTGCCAAGAATTTAACCCAGTTCTTTAGAAGAGTAGTAAGTGCTCTTGATTGCTGAACCATCTCTCTAACTCCTAATTTTTCTTAATTAACAGATTTTATTTTGTAGAGTACTGTTAGGCTTATAGAAAAAACAACCACGTGCCAAGAATCAGAATTATCCCAAACATTATTGCTTTCTTATAATTTATTTATTTTTATTTCATGTACATTTGTGTTTTGTCTGCATGTGTGCCCTTGTGAAGGTGTTGGGTCCCTGAAACTGGAGTTACAAACAGGTGTGAGCTGCCATGTGGGTACTAGGAATTGAACTTGGTTCCTCTGGAAAAGCAACCATTGTTCTTAACCACTGAGCCAACTCTCCAGCCCTCCTCTAACCTTAACTTTGATAAAGTCATCTTCTCTTATCCCTAGAGTACCACTCCTATTCCTTTATTCTTCCCACCCGTTCCACCTGCTCCCTATACCTAACTGGTTTCGTATTTAAAGACACAAAACACTTTGGGCTATGACCCTTCTCTGTGCCAGTGCAGCTTTACTGTAGCTGCTATTGAATGAGACTTAGGTGAGACCCCAGCTCTACCCTCTCCCATGGCTTCCTGCCACCACTGGAATACAAAACCGAGCGCCTGCCACCCTACTTACTCTGATGCCCCATGCGGCTTGGCTTTAGTGTCCGTCAGTTACCCTCCCTTTGTGCCTGGCCCACTCTGCTCCAGACATCCCAGAGTCCGTGGCTGTCCTCGGGCCAGGGTCACCCTTGCCATTGCCATCCACAAGCTTGGGAGCTGCCCCTCCACTGAGGTTTCTGGGGCTGGCTACTTCTGCTCTCTGGCAGATGGTCACATTATCTGTGGAAGCCTTCTTCAGGGAGACAACCTCCTCCACTGCCACCACCCAGTCTTTGATGTTTATTTGCCTTTACTTTGACCCTTGGAATATATAATCATCCCGTGGTTTCTGTAAGCGATGGTTTTCCATGACACCCCGCCCCCTCAAGTAAGTCCCTTGTATAAAATGACATAGTATTAATGTAAGCCTTCTGAAGTTCTGTATACTTGAAATCCTCTCTAGACCAGTCACGACATTTAGCACCGTGTAGGTGACATACAGAAGATTGCTATACCGTATTGTTCAGGGAATGATGACGTCAAGAAAAAAAAAGTCCTCATGTGTTCAATACAGATACTCTTTTTCTTTAAAGCAATGTTTGATGCAATTTACCTGTAGGACAGAAGAATTTTTTTTAAATGACGTAAATAGCTTTTTAGCTAGAAAGGGCATGGAAATGTTCCATTAATATGTGAGGCTTTCAACCTGCCAATCATCAGGAAATGAATATTGAAACGACAACAGGCCAAAGCAACTGTTAAGATGCCTCAACATTCAGGAGGTGGAGGCAAACGGGTCTAAGGTTGGCAGAAGTATTCAAGGTCGTTAAAAAATTGCTGGAAGTTCTGTCCTAATTCAAAGCCAAAACTTTAAATGAAACCCAGCTTTTAAAAATGAAACTCAAGTCAAGCAGCTAATTCTATTCACTTATTTTAATTTTTTATTTATGTGTGTGTGTGTGTATGTGTGTATGTATGTCACATGCGCTCAGGTACCCCCAGAGGCCAGCAGAGGGACTGGAGTCTCTGGAGCTGGAGTTGCAGGTGGTTGTGAGCCACCCAGTATGGGTGCTGGGATCCAAGCTCAGGCCCTCTGAAGGAATGACAGGCGCTATAAATTACTAAGCCATTTCTCTAGCCCTCTCAAGCAGAAAAGTCAGGTGCTCTAACCCAATGCAATCCAAAGGCACACTATTTGGTACACATGGAGGGACAGTAGAAAAATAGCACAAGTATTTGTTTTCCAGAACTAAATCCTAAGAGCAGAAGGCTTTGTTCAAACGGTGAGGATACCCGCAGCGCCGGTGGCGCAGTTGTCTCTAAGCTGAGCCCAAGTGTGGCAGGCAGTGTTCACTGGAGTTGTGTGGCACGCTGATTCCAGTAGGGCCAAGTAGGAATGTTGAGTGCTCAAAACCAAGGCTGCAGCGACATTTCATGATGCAACACGAGTGATTCATCACAGTTCTGCTTTAGAATTAATCTCAGGTTGCCCTGGGTTTGGAAACTTTTCACTCTTCCCAAACATTTCCAGACCCCACTTTCAGGTCTGCAGGCAGCCCCATCTGGGGTCGTGACCTACTGTTTAAGAACCTGGCCTCAGCCTGGAGGTGGTGGTGGCCCACACCTGTAATCCCAACACTAAAGCAGAGGCAGAAGGATCTCTGCGTTTGAGGCCAGCCTGGTCTACAGAGTGAATTCCTGGATAGTCAGAGCTGTTCCACAGAAAAACCCTGTCTCTAAAACCGAAAACAAAAGAAGAACCTGGACGGTTACTCATCCACTCAGCAACTTTATGAAACCTGAAAAATAGCAACAGGAGGGCTAGATAACTTGTACTAGAGACGTGCTGGTAGCCTCCCCACCGAGCAGGCCCCGCCTCCCCACTCCAAGCCAGGGACTTGCGCACTTGCCCCTGGTAACTCTTGCTGCTTGTTCGCCATCAGGTAACTTATTCCTAGAATTCCACGAGGAGTTTGAACACATCTATAAAGTCTACTGTGCCAACTACGACCAAGCCCTGCAGCTGGTCAAGGAGTACCGGAAGGAACCGGAGCTGCAGAAGGCCATCCAGGGCATCATCGAAGCAGCAGTGTGAGTAACATGTCCAGAGACAGTTCAAGTCATGATCCTGCTTGGGTCTGCTCAGGCTGCTTCGGGCCTGTGCCAGCAGCCAGGCCTCTATACTGCCAAGCAGTGCTCACACAGTCTCAGACACGGTTCCACGTCTCCTGTGTCCCTGTGCGTTTCCTGCCAGTTTTGGATAGTGCTGTTTTAAGTGTACAAGTAGTTACCAATATATGATCTTATTTTCTCTCCTTTCTTCTCCTTTTTTTTTGGGGGGGGGAGGTGTCTTTCAAGACAGAATTTCTTTCTCTGTGTAGCTCTGACTGTGCTGGAACTTTCTCCGTAGACCAGGTTGGCCTCAAACTCAGAGATTCTCCTGCCTCTGCTTCCCGAGTGCTGGGATTAAAGATGCACATCACCATGACCGGTTAAACTTCTAAACAGAAGCCAGTACATCTCTTTCCTGGAGATTGACCCTCGGCATACTCTTCCACCAGGTGGTCATGCCAATTTGTCTGACCCGTGTTGGAGGGTAGACATTGGTTTGTTTCCGTTCTTTCAATATTATAAGTGGGGCTATAGAATTCTTTTCAGGATCTGCAGTCATCTTACTGTGTCACGAAGTACACTTTTCAGAAGTGGAATGGATAGATCAGAGGGAGATATGTGTGGAGAATTTCGTTAGTTAAAACCTCCCCTACAAAGGTCCATTTAGACTCCTGTCAGCAGCAGGTGCCTGTCTCCCACGGCCTTTCCAGAGCCGCGTGCCACCAAACCTTAGGATGCTTGTGTTGGGTTAGGTCAGGATGAGGTCTTTGACTTTTCCTTTTATCTTAGGGCAAGTTGGTCATTTCTTTGGACATTTAAGAGTCCTGGATCTCTGTGAGTTCGAGACCAGCCTGGTCTACAAGAGCTAGTTCCAGGACAGGCTCCAAAACCACAGAGAAACCCTGTCTCGAAAAACAAAAAAACAAACAAACAAAAAAAGAATTTGTGTTTGTGTGAAAAATGGATTTCTCATGCCTTTAATCCCAGTGCTCGGGAGGCAGAGGCAGGTATATCTCCGAGTTGGAGGCCAGCATGGTCTACAGGGTGAGTTCCAAGACAGGCAGGGCTGCCCAGAGCTACTTTGTCTTAATAACAACAAAACCCCAAACAAAACAGATTTCTAATTGCTTATTTGATTTATTATTGGTTCTCATCTTTCTTTTTTCCTTCTACACAAATTTACTAGTCCTTTTTAAAAAATTTTACATTTTTTTTTGAGAATTTCGTGCATGAATGTTGTATTTGCATCATTTCACTCCATCTTTCCCTGCCTTCAGCTCCTTCTGGGTCTCATCCAACTTCCTCTCAAACTCATGACCTCTTCTTCAATTATTATTGTTACAAACACATATATGCACATATATATTACATATATACACACATGTAACAATATATATGCACATATGTATATCCTACTGAATATATTTAGTGTTGCTCATATGTATATGAGCTGAAATTATATGTATAAACAAGGGCTGACATCTTGGGATTGGATAACCTATCAGGTGACCCATACCTGGAGAAGTTTGATTTTTCCCTCTCTTAGCAGTCATTACTTAATTCTAGCTCCTTATATAGAGGTCAGTGCTTTTTTTTTTGTTAAAGAAGCCAAGGCAGAAGTGTTGCTACAACTTCAAGGCCCTCCTGGGCTACATAGCAAGACTATATCTCATAAATCCAAAACTTGACTGGGCATGTTGGTGCACATTTTAATCCCAGCATTCAAGATGCAGAGGCAGGAGGATCTCTGTGAGTTTGAGGCCAGCCTGGTCTACATAGGGAGTTTCGGGCCAGCCATGGTTATGTAGTAAGACCCTTTTAAAAAATTTTATTTAAAGATTTATTTATTTATAATGTATACAGTGTTCTGCTTTTATGTCTGTCTGCAGGCCAAAAGAGGGCACGAGATCTCATTACAAATGGTTGTGAAGCACCGTGTGGGTTGCTAGGAATTGAACTTAGGTCCTCTGGAAGAGTAGCCAGTGCTCTTAACTGCTGAGCCATCTCTCTAGCCCCAAGATCCTTTTTATAAACAAAACAAAATGCTAAAAAAGGCAGCAACAATGAAACCCCAGAATCAACCACAAACCCCCAAACAAAATTTAAAAGGTTTGTCAAGTGAAAATTGACAGTCGGTTTTTAGAAACCAGAGTGGTAGAAGGAGAACAGAGGAGTCATCTTTACCTCACTCAGGTGTTCCTTATGCCCAAGGGAAAGAGTGCTGAAGAGGTGTGTGCAGTGACGTCATGTCCTGTGCAGCCTGCCAGCCTGTCTCACCTGCCTTGTCTTTCTCTCACTTTTCAACCTCCTTCAAAGTCTCTCTTTCAAGCACCAGGTCCTAGGTCCAAAAAAAAAAAAAAAAAAAAAAAAAGGGAAAAAATATTTTCTTCTCATAGGTTTGGAAAAGGTAGGCCTTTACAGGGCCATTAGATATGTTTTTATAGGACAGAGGCAGATCACAGAAGTCAGGGAAGCTAGGGCCCAGTGTGGGACGAAAGGGAGAAGTGGAGACTGTGGGAAAAGGGAAGTGACAGACCCTGAATCAAGCCTGGCATGGCCTTAGGAGATTGTTGCTGTCAGTAGCTGTTAGATAACCACCCCAAACAATGCCGGAAAACAACACTGACCAGGCCGTTAAGGTGTCTCAGTGAGTAAAGGCAGGCTGTGGTTTGAAAGAAAATGGCCCTTATTAGGAGGTGTGGCTTTATTAGAGTAGGTGCGGTCTTATTGCAGGAAGTGTGTCACTTTAGAGACGGGCTTTGAGGTCTCATATATGCTCAAGATACCGCCCAGTGTCTCAGACAAGCATTTCCAGTTGCCTGCAAGATGTAGGACTCACAGCTAGTACTCCAGCACTGGTCTGCATGCCTGCACCATACACTCCACCATGATGATAATGGACTGACTCTGAAACTGTAAGAGAGCCACCCCAATTGAATGTTTTTTCTTTATAAGAGTTGCCGAGGTCGGGGTGTCTCTCCACAGCAATAGAAATCCTGACTAAGATAAGGCACTCGCCTGCCGCCAATCCTGACTGCCTGCGTTCACTTTCTGGAATATAGTAGAAGGAGACAATAGAGTCCCACCAGTTGTCCTCTGACCACACACATGTGCTGTGGCTCACATGTGCCCAAATGTTTCCAAAGCAGCAGGAACTTCAATGGGACACCTCCCATGAGTCCCATTCTCTCCAGCCATGCTAGAAGCAATGACTAGTTGACAATGAGGCTGTTTGTCCTATGTCTGCAGGTCTGGAGCCAGGCTTGCACGGTGTCAGATCTGGCTCAGTCCCTTCTTGTGAGAGTGATTTCACATCTTAAACCCAATTTCCTTATGGGTCTGATGGGAGTCCTAACGGCACTTGGTGGTGCGTAGACACACGGCACAAGGGACACTGAATATGTCCCAGCTATTCTAGTCAGCTGGGCAGGAACTGTCTCACGCTGCAGCTTTTCAGTCTTGTCAGTCCCAAGGCCTCCTTTTATAACAAATATGAAATATATTTATCATCCTGCAATAAATCCTGGAAATAGACCCTACCTCTATATATGAACTGGGAAAAAGTCAATATAACAATATAACAACGATATGAAGGAGGAAGAAAAGGAAAGCATTTTCTAGTAATGTGGGTTTCAGTGTGCACTCGGGCACAACAGTCCTAGAAGCTATGAGGAAGCACTCAAAAATTAGCTCGCTTCTCTGGGTAGTAAGTTAGTTTGGAGGTCAGAAAAGAAATTCCTGAGGCTGTTCTGCTTCTGAAGTACAAGAAAGCGAGGGAACAGAGGGTGTGCGTACCCAAGGGTGGCAACCCACAGGAATGGTAGTCGTGACTTCCCCGGGTGTGAGGCAGAGAAGATAGTGGCTCATGGCCTGGGAGGTAGGAAAATGCAAATAGCCTGCATCTTATCTCTAAAAGATAGTGTATAAAAAATCTAGTATTAGCCAGGCGGTGGTGGTGCACGCCTTTAATCCCAGCACTCAGAGAGGCAGAGGTAGGCGGATCTCTGTGAGTCGAGACCAGCCTGGTCTACAAGAGCTAGTTCCAGGACAGGCTCCAAAACCTCAGAGAAACCCTGTCTTGAAAAACCAAAAAAAAAAAAAAAAATCTAGTATTGTGTCATGTGACTGGACAGAGTCTGAGAGTCACACAAGCAATTCGGTTCTTGAACCCACAGTACATTTTGAGGCCCCGTTTAGGCTCTGAGTGTTCAGAGGGACGTGTGAGACCCCAGCTACTCTCTGTAGCACAGGTCTGTGTGCAGGGCCTCGCTGTTCCCAAATAGTTCTTTCTTTGCTTCCAACTTGTGGATCAAGACGTGAGCTCTCGGGCTGTTCCTGCTGCCGTGCCATTGTCCCACCATCATGGATTCGAACACGCTGTACTTGTGAGCCCTCAATTTGTTGTTCAGTAAGTTGCCTTGGTCTCGGTGTTTAATCACAGTAGTAGAACAGTAAGACAGTGCCTCGAGAGTCCCTGTGATTCCTGAATGTGTTCTGACGATTTCACCTTCATGTAGGTTAGCATTCAGGGTAGCCTGCCCTTTAAAACAGAAACGCAGACCACGCAGGGAGCTCTGTACTGGGGAGGACCTTTTGTGGGTGGTGAGGGAAAGGAGGCTGAGCAGAGGTGGAGCAGCCCTGGAAGTCAAAGTTCTAGAAGACTGCCTGGCATAGCAATGTTTGCAGAAGGAAAACAGCCTCTGGTTTCCTGTATCAGCTAGTCGTATTTATTTTGAATATAAAAGTAATATTTAAATAATACTCAAATACATGAAGTCCATTCTTTGTTGGCTGAGGGATTACCGTCCTCTGTTATGTTTTCTTCTGTATAGTTACAGACAGATGGGTAGAGAAGCAGGTAGGGGATGGTGTTGTTCTTAAAGAGACTACTGTGCTATTCTAGAACTTTTTAATTGTAGCTGTGAATATTGCCTCACAGACCCTACTCACCCACTCTTTTATTGATGGATTTTTCTTTTCAACCATGGAGTAGCTGAACAACTTAACTCTATCCTTGTTTGTCTGAGCCAAGATTTCTATAGGTAGACATTGTCTAGGCTGGGGTTGGTGGAGCAAAGGATTTGTGTGTTTCGAAAATTGCTTCACTGCCCAAGATCTCAGCCAGTGACACTCCTATGAGTGTAAGAAGCCCTCTTCCGTCACCACCCCCCCAGTCTTCTAGGCTATCATTCTGGTCTTATCGTCTATATGTTTTCCTCCAAGTTACTTTAAGAAGGCTACAGAGTCAGGTGGTGGTAGTGCAGGACTCAGGGAGGCAGAGGAAGACGGATCTTTGTGAGTTCAAGGCCAGCATGGTATACTGAGTGAGTTCCAGGACAGCCAGAGATACACAGGGAAACCTTGTTTCGAAAAACAAAACATAACAGAGAAAGAGAGAGGGAGAGGGAGAGGAAGGGAGAGAGAGAGAGAGAGAGAGAGAGAGAGAGAGAGAGAGCCACAGATGTCAGCAACTTTCATCATTTTGCCCTGGCTCCTTCATGACTTTAAAAAAAAAGAATGCTGTTATCTCTTTAAGAGCCCCTTGGCCTCTGGTTTGTACTGTGGTGGCAGTTGTCCCTGGGAGGCAGCTGGCTCTTTCCCGTGGAATGTCAATCTAGAATGGAGTTTCCAGAATGCCTGCCCACAGTTATCTGAGCTCAGGACACCCCTGGGGAGAGCAGATGGACAGGGCAAGCATAGTCCACCCGCTGCCATCCTGGGCTCCCACCTGCCATGTCTATTCTTAGCCTCTGAGCAGTTTCTTTGCAGAACATTTGGTCAGGAGATTTTCCCTTAGGAAGGAGTTGAGGGCTCCATTATAGAGTGCGGATGGCTGGTCCCTGACATCTGAGTTTTGTAGGAGGCACACTGAGACAATTAAGGGCTGGAATTCTTACACGCCTGTTGGAGCCACTCCCAAGTTGCCCTTGACCTAGGCAATCCTGATGAAACCCCAGACGTCCAGCTTTAGGAGTCTGATGGTCACCTGGGCATCAAAACCATTCCTCACAGTGCTTTTTAAAAACCATTTTTTTAAAAAAAAATAAAAATTCCAAACTGCAGAAAATGAGGATGACATGATGGATACCTACTACCTTAAATGAGAAAGAGTTGATATATAAATGTCCTATCTATTTTTATGTTAAACTATTTAAAGGAAGCTATGAGTGTTCCCCATATAGTCTAAAAATTATGTTCCCATGGTTTTTCAAAACATTTTTTTAGATTACAAATTTCACACTTATTTGTTTAGCGTGAAAGCATCTCTCTCTCTCTCTCTCTCTCTCTCTCTCTCTCTCTCTCTGTGTGTGTGTGTGTGTGTGTGTCTGTGTGTGTGTAGGTCACAAGACAACTTGTGGGAATCAATTCTCTCTTCCATCATGTGAGTTTTGGAGGTTTACTCAGGTCCTCTGGCTTGGTGGTAAATCCCTGTACCTGCTGAGCCATCCCTCTGGTTCTCCAATGTCTTAAAAGCAACGACCTATTTTGCTAAGTAAAATATGAACTGGATGACCTCTGAGAGTTGATCTTGGGACATTATCTGAGTAGAGATATGAAGTCACAGTTGAGGGCAGTGGAACATGTGAGTTTGGAGCCCTGGGGAGAAGAGAGAGATGGAAATGGGGGCTTGGGGTACATTAAAAGCTATTGGAGGTCACCAAGGGGGCATATGGAGGAAAGGGGTCTCCAGAATGCTCTAGCATCTGGCAGAAAGAGTAGCTTATGGAATGAGAAGACACTGGACGCAGGGTCTCTGGGTCCTGCTGAGGAAGAGGATGTGGTCAGCACGTTTGCTGCTGAGAGGGTGCACGAGGCTGACAGAGCACTTGGGTTTTGAACAGACCGGGAATCAAAGCCCAGGAAGGTCTCTGCCTGCCTGATATCTAGACACCATGAGATACAGAAAGGCCCACAGGGAGAGAGTGGACTTCCTGTTATTACACTGAGCTAAGCGACAGAGCTGGGCCACTACCGCAAGCCCTCCCCAGTCCCCTAAAGGATGGTCTTTACCTGCCTAATAGCAACCTTCTCCCTCAGGCCTCAAGCTGGACCTTCGGGTCTCAGTTTCTTACTTGTAATTCCTCTGCAGAGGATTACCAAGTACCCCCTCCTGCTGCAGAAAATCCTGGAGAACACTCCCACAGATGCCCGTGCCCACCCTGTCCTTCAGAGAGCTGCCTCTGCCCTCCAGGACGTCAACAGCAATATCAATGAGTACAAGATGCGCAAGGAAGTGGGTAAGGACTTGTGCTTCGGGGCACATCAAGGGCAGCAGTTTTAGTTCCAAAACTCATCCTGAGATTCCTTCATGCTTGTCTAATAAGTGCAAGGCCCTGGGATCAAGTTCTGTCACCACTGGGAGGTAAGGTGGTGTGTGTGAATGTGTGGGGTGCATCCGCTGCTTCCGTTGCTGCAGTAGATAGGTTTGCAAACTGAAGCAGCATCCATGCATCCAGAAACTCGGCTGCCCACTGACGGCATGATACTGGAAATTTAGCTCATGTTTACTCTTTAAAAAGTATTCATTTTTATTTTGTGTGCGTGGGGTGTATCTGTGCACCACAGACTTGCCTTGGAGGCCTGAGGCAGCTGTTGGGTCCTCTGGAGGTAGAGTTATAGGTGGTTGTGAGCCACCATGCATGTGCTGGGCACCAAACCTAGGTACTCTGGAAGAACAGCCAGTGCTCTTTTCTCTCTCTCCAACCCTCATGTTTACTTTTAAAATAATTACCTCAAATTCACAAATATCTGTGGGGCAGAGCGTGATACCTCTGTGCACATTACAGTGTGCAATGATCAGACGGAATGGTGGTCAGTATAGATTTTGTTTGTTTGTTTCGTTTGGGTTTTTGTTTTTGGTTTTTTTTTTAACCTGTTTCCCTGTTTCTCTGTTTAACCTTGGCTGTCATAGAACCCACTCTGTAGACCAGGCTGATTCAAACACAGAGGTCTGCCTGCCTTTGCCTCCCAAGTGTTGGTATTAAAGGCGTGTGCCAACACCACCAAGTTAAGTATATGTGTTTTTTTTTTTTTTTTTTTTTTTTTATATTTTTGAGACAGGGTTTCTCTGTAGTTTTGAAGCCTGTCCTGGAACTTGCTCTGTGGACCAGGCTAGTCTCGAACTCACAGAGATCCGCTTGTCTCTGCCTCCTGAGTGTTGGGATTAAAGATGTGTGCTACCATCACCCGGCTGTGTTTGTGTGTGTATGTATATATGCATGCATACATATACACATACATACATACAAATACATACACACACACACACATATAAACTGAGGTCAGTCCAGTTAGTTCCACTTGAGGGGTAAACAGTGTGTCCAGTTTGCTTGTCGCAACTGGATCTTAGGAAACAGAGTTCAGGTTTCCTCCCATGCTGGAGAGGGTAGAGGTGCCCAGTGAGGAGAGGGTTTGGTTGACCTTAATAAAACTGGGGAACCCCAGAAAAGTGTCCCCTTTACACTTGCTGTCTTAGGTGATCCTCTCAGTAATCCTGCAAGATGGGAGTCCTCATGTTACAGGAAAGGAAACTGGGGCCCCAAGGAGAGAGCAGGCAGAACACTCTTCACCCAGAACTCATTCCTGGGACAAAGAGGACCCGAGTACTGGATTTCCCAGCATTTACCGTTCTGCTGGATGTAACTTGGTGGAGCAGAGTTCCAAGTCAGGAGGATGTGATGCTGTTTGCTTCCTGGGTCAGCCTCAGTCACCCACAATGTCCTTTTCTTTGGTGTCACCACAGCTTTAAAGTATACCAAGGTAGAGCAACTGAGCCTTCGGGAGCGGCTGGCCCGCATCAACACGCATACTCTTTCCAAGAAGACCACCAGGCTGAGCCAGCTGCTGAAGCAGGAGGCGGGGCTGGTACCCAGGGTGAGTGCGTGCTGGTGGGAGGAGATACAGGGACGAACACAGGGTGAGGTACCTTTGAGCAGTGAGGTGGCTGAAGCTGCGAGTGAGGGACCACAAAGAGGCACACCACTTGATTCACCAGTATTGGGGGCCTCTTTGCTTATAGGAGAGCTAGGCTCTGGGCTTGGGCAGAGCGCCAGTCTGAACAGTTCCTCGTAGCTGCTCAGGCTGAGTGCTTTACTTCTTCCACAGCGGCAGTGGTGGAGCCGCAGGGTTAAGTAGGCATCCTTATCTCGTTTTCACACAAAGAAGCAGAGGCTCCCAGAGGATGCAATGTCTGCCCACAGCCACACAGCTAGGAAGCAAGTGAGCTCTGTGACGAGGTTATCCCTCCTGAGTTCCCGAGGTAGGGAAAACAGCTGCACACTGCCCCCGTGTGGATCTTCTGACCCTCACATGGATGGCTTTCCTTACAGACAGAGGACAAGGAATTCGATGACTTGGAGGAGAGATTCCAGTGGGTGTCTCTGTGTGTGACGGAGCTGAAGAGCAATGTGAGTGCTTACATGGATAATCTGGAGGTGAGAACCCTGCGGAGTTCGAAGGTCAGACCCACAAGCTGTAGAGGTACCAACTGCAGAGACTCTGGTGTGAGGTGTTAGCCAGGAGGGCTGGCGAGCACACTGTGACCCATAGTCACAAAACTGGGGGCTAAAGACAGCTTCTCTCGCCCCACTGGAGTTCTCATGGGTAAGAGTCAAAGATGTCCTGCAGCTGGAATTACAGATGGTTGTGAGCTGCCACGTGGGTGCTGGGAAGTGAACCTAGGGCCTCTGCAAGAGCTGCAGGTGCTCTTAATCACTGAACCATCTTTCCAGCCCCTGCCCTGACATCTTTTCCTTCTTTCTTTCTTTCTTTCTTTCTTTCTTTCTTTCTTTCTTTCTCTTTCTCCCTCCCTCTCTCTTTTAAAAAGATTTAATTATTTAATTAGTTATTATGCATAGTGTTCTGTCTGCATGTACACTTGCAGGCCAGAAGAGGGCATGAGATCTCATTACAGATGATTGTGAGCCACCATTTGGTTGCTGGGACTTGAACTCAGGACCTCTGGAAGAACAGCCTCTTACCACTGAGCCATCTCTTCAACCCCAGCCTTTTCTTTTTTAATGTCTTGATTTGAATAGGAGCAGTTCATTGTCTTACAGAAAAACATTAATAGAATCTGTAGAACATGGACCTGGCAAAGAATCACCCAGGGGGCACACAGATAGGTGTGATGTTCGTGGGTCCCAAAGGAGGGAGGAGATGCAGACTCCCGCTTGGCGAGGCCCTTCTAATCCTCTAGGGTGGGCAGGAACAGAGTGGTGTAGGTGCGTGGTTGTTATGTAGAGGGCCTGAAAAACTGCCTGGGAGGTCTGCTGAACTGGGGGTTAGCAGTAAGATGGCCATGGTGGGACCTAACCACCTGTCTTCGTTGGTCCTAGGCTTTCCTCTGCTTCCGGCCACACGAATGGAGTCTGGACATTCCTGGTGGTCCTGCCGAACAGTACTGCGGTCTGGCGAGGGACCTTCAGCTCGAGGCCTTCCTGCAGTTTGTGAGTGGGATTTCCATTCCCCCCGCCCCCACCCCGCTCCTTTGATAGGCAGGTGGTGCCTCCGACAAGAGTAATATTTAGAAGCCAGGCACTTATACAATCGTCATATCCAGTAGGGAAGGGAGTGCTATTCCTGCACTTACTGATAAAAATAGCCCAACCGATGTGCAGTGAGCCGCACCCTGTACCAGGCGCCGTGCCCACCTTTTCCATTCTTGACCTCATTTGCCCCTCGACATGTGCTTTGGGGTGAGACACTATTAATAGCCCCATTCTGCTAATGGGAGCTCAGGGCCCAGAGAGCGCCATCTTCTGGGTCATTTACACAGATGAGGTCTGAGTTAAAAAGTAGCATTCTGTGCAAAACCTGTTTCAAGCAAGCACTTTACATAATAATAACTCTGAGAAGTGCCAGGAATTGAGAACCTCCCCTGGGCCGCACTCTGTGTACACTACATACCATCTGCATTATCAAACCATAAGCCAAGACTCGGCGAGGTTAGAGCAAGGCTTCTGAAGCTTTTCCACATCAACCCCATTACCTGAGGAACTTTTATGTGACCTGGATATATAGGTATATATAACGGATACCCGTTATAATTTACTGATAATAAATCGTAAGGAAGTTTATTTTAAAACAATTCTTTGGTATGCATATAATTTGAGTATTTGTTAAAAGTAAAGTCTGTGCACTAATGAGATGATATGCTGTTTATTTTATATCTTGGCCTAATACTTGATATGAATATAAGATCTCAAGACACAGAACATCTTCAAAGAGTCTCAGAGTTGATGAAAATTTTGATTTTATAATCATCAATGCTGAGACCGTCACTTCACATAAAACACATTTCAGAATTTTGGGTTATCATATATTCAGAAAACTTTTGTTGTTGGGGTTTCTGTCCTGCCCGGTTCCCGCAATCGTTAAGTCCCAAAGAAATCACACAGAGATCTACATTAGTTATAAACTAATTGACCTAGTAGCTCAGACTTCTTATTAACTCTTATATTAGCCCATTATTCTTGTCTATGTTGGCCATGTGGCTTGGTACCTTATTGGCGGGGCAGTCACATCTTGCTTCTTCTGTGGCTGGGACAGGACTACGGGCCAAGCTTTCCTCTTCCCAGAATTCTCCTATTCTCAATGACCTGCCTCTACTTCCTGTCTGTTTGTCCTGCCTGTACTTCCTGCCTGGCTACTGGCCAGTCAGCGTTTATTTAAAATATAACTGATGGGAATACAGACCATTGTTCCACACTAGACTTTTACTGTTGCCAAATCTTTTTCAACATCCATGTTCATTCCCAACCCCATGTGGATTGTGCCCCACAGTTTAGGCAGGCAGAGATTAGGATACGTTACAAGTTAGAAGTTGTCAGTGGAGGGGGCCTGGAACCCCAGCTCCCTGCCCCCAGCATCCCTCCAAACCCCTACCCTTTGCTACCTCCTAACTCATCTCTCAAGTTCTCCTCTCCCTGCAGAAGCAGCGACTGAAAGGCCTAGTTTGGGACCCACTGTGTAGCCTGGCCCGAGCCCTGGTTGGCCCTCAGAACTTGATCAAGAAGCGTCTGGACAAACTCTTGGACTTCGAGCGAGTGGAAGAGAAACTGCTGGATGTGGGCAGTGTGACCTATGAGGAGGAGGCGGCCCGGCACACGTACCAGGCGCTCAACTCCATGCTAGTGGCCGAGCTCCCGCGGTTTAACCAGCTAGTCACACAGTGGCTGGGCCAGATCCTGTGCACATTCGTGGTCCTGCAGAAGGACCTTGCCGACCAGGTCCTGCGAAGGGCAGAGAGCAGTATGGCCCTGGTAAGGCTGCTGGGACTACGGCTGTGGTAGAGCACAGTCAGGCAAGGCCCTAGCTGTTGTCAGGGCAGAAATGGAGATAAATAGGCCACTGGGACCTAGGACCTAGTGGGGATCCTCGAGATGTCTCTCAAGCCTTTTCTCCCTCCTTCAGTTAGTGGAGACAGAGGCCAGGCTGAACTCTAGGCCACCTTAGGTCATCCTGGGACTCAGGAACAAGGGAGGTTTTTCTGGGAAAACAGTAGCAGACCCATCCCTGAAGGAGATGATGAGATGGTGGCAGAGATAGGAGTCTCTTCTATCTGGTCAGGAGTAGATGTGTCCAGCTGGGTCTCCTCCTGGTACTGCTAGCAGTCATTTCCTGGCAAGCACTTGTCTGCCTGCTTGGCCCCCTTTCCAGGCTGTGTCTCCCTCAGTCCTCAGGGCAATCCTGTACATTATGTGGTCCTTTCATGTTCGAGAAGCCAAGGCCCAGAGAGGGAAAGCGGCTCGTGCACAGATGCACAGTGGACAGTAGGTTTTGATCCCTGACTGTGCAGTGATAGAACTCTGAACTCGGGGCTCAAGAGTCTTTCAGAAGGATCTATCCGCTGAAGGCAGGAATAGATCTTAAAGAGCGCTACGCAAGCCACCACCACGAGCTGGTCCGGGAGGGAATTGGCGGCGTTTCGCATCTTACTCTGGAATGTCTGTGTCAGAGCTGAATGGCTCATGAATCAAGCGTTGGGAGCCATTTCTATGCCTTGCCTTCTGTGTTTCCCTGTCAGCTGACTCCCCACCCCTGACTCTCCCTCGTCTCTGCTTCCTATCTCCTGACCTCTCCACTCTAGCCAACTCTTCAATCCAGGGCCCCGTGTCCCTCCTTCTAATACACTGCCTGAGTGCCACCGTGTCTCTTTCTACAAGCTCTCCTTCAACTGGAAATCCCTCCTCAACTGTCCCCCAGGCCTCTCTCAGTGTCTGCCATTCAGTGACAGACGAACCAGTCTTTTCAGGAAGCATTCAGAATTCGTGCTGCCCTGGAGGAGTGGGAGCTTTCTCGTCCTTACCCTCACCAGCAAAACTTAAGTCACGTTGCTGCTCAGTGCTTAGCAGAGCCTGCCTTCTGCTGGAGCAGTGGGGATCCACGTTTCCCTCAGTTGGGGGGTGGGGGGGGGCAAGGATATGAGTGGTTCCTCTTCTGCCCTCATCAGTATTTTGTACAGGGCTCTGCCTCAGGCCCAGTGTGAAAAGAATGAATTTGATTGGCTAATTCTTTGACTGTCTTCCAATCTCTCCCTTTCCTACCAGTCTGCAGTTTGGGTGGGCAGGGCTAGGAATGCCAGTCTAGGGAGGTTTATAGCCATAGGAAGTGTGTGTATGGCAGGGGTGGGGAAGGGGGTAAGCAGTCGGGGTGTCTCCTGATTGGTCTGTGCTATGGATGGCCAGGGCTTACCTAGGATTGCTACTAATCTTCCCTTGAATGTATCCAGTGGGTCATTCACCTGGCCTCACTCCTGCAGTGCAGGGCAAAAACCGTCTTCTCTCTGCAGCCCAGGAGAAAGGCCCTGTGTCCATCACAAATAAAAGTGGGGAGTCTGGCAATAACCCAGAGGGCTGGACACATCTCTTGGCTGTGGGGTCTCACTCAGTCTAGAGCTGTCTGATGAGAAGGCGGGAGAGCCTTAGCCTTAACAGAGTTGGCACCTCACGGGAGAGCTCAGAACACCCTGGGTTATAAGCAATATAAGCCATACTAAAGTAGGTGGGGTAGAGAGAACAGAATGACCTGACCCCAGGAGGGGTCAGGGCTCAAGCACAGTTACTTATAGACCTGCACTGTTGGGACGCTGCCTTTCTCCCCATCTCCTGCCTGTTTGCTTTCCTGGATGGGCTGGTTTTCAAGCAGGCTTTGTTTCTGTGTGGTGGTGGGCAGAGAAGGCCCAAGCCTGTACCTTTACTCCTCGGAATCCAAGGGAAGGGGAACGGCTGTGTTCTAAGCCTTTGCACACCGCGTCTGACAGAAGGGCCTGGCCTAAGTTCCTTGTTCTCCCTTGATCGAAGCACAGCAGCTTAGGGGACAGGACAGTGGGCAGACAAAAAGAGCAACCAGATGTCTGGGACTAGAGGGTGGGTGTACAGGCACCCCTGGGCCCCTTCTCCTGCAGAGGCTCTGCTGACAGCATCTTCCCGCCCAGCTGCCTCATTACCACGTTTCGGAGCCGGACTTCCGGAAGCTGCTGGAGGACACACTAGGCCAGAACAGCAGCCAGCTCCGCTTCGTTAAAGAGAGCTTTGAAAAGGTGCTGCCACCCCCCACTACTCAGGTAAGTGTCTCTCCTTCCCTGAAGTCAGCAGTTCTCCTGCAGTGGGGTGAGCTTCGTTCACGCCTTTCTCTTATTTCTTTCCCGTTACTCATGGAAACATTTCTTCTTGTTGTCTCTCTTTCTGTGGGGGGAAAAAACCCAAACCAAACCCATATCCCAACACACACACACAAACACACACAGGCACACACACACACACACACACACGTGCGTGCACATACACACACACACACACACACAGGCTATCTCCTAATCCACTTGAACAGCATACCTAGGCAGCCTGTGTTATTGTATTTTATTTTACTTTCTGTTGATTTTTTCTTTGTTTAGATAGATTTTTCACATACCTCAAGCTGTCCTTGAACTTGTTACATAGCTAGGACTTAGTCTGAGGCAGCTGTGAAAAGAGAGGGCTCCAGGAATCTGGTGACATCTGGATTTGAGAAAACTGAAAGTGCCTTGAGTCACACATGAGATGTGAAATCTCAAACCAGCATGTGACTTCTCTGAAGGGACCAGAGGTTCCGGGGATGCAGAGAAGCAAGTGGGGCAGGTAAAGGCGGTCTCCATGACTGTCAGAGGGCAGAGGGCAGCCACCTGGGGGAGGCTACCTCCTGGGACCCTCTGTTCCACCCTCAAGCTTTAGTAAGTTCTCACAAGGAGGCCATGGACTCTGCAACTGGGGGAAAGGGAGGAGACAGAAAATGCCCATTGGGAACCTCCTTTCTCTTTCTCCTTAAAATCTTTCTTGTTGGAGAAACAATCTATTCTTACCACAGAAAACAGCTGTAAGTCACGTGAAAATGAAGCAAAAAGAAGTGATCCTCTGCGCTGCAGTTTGTGGGGAGGGACACCCCCTCCCACCCTCCCTCCCCGCAGGCAGCACAGACCTCTGAGTTCTTCCCTGTTCTGGCTGCAGGCATAAAAGCCAGCAGAAGTAGGGTGGCTCTGGACAGGGGCAGTCCTGGCGGTCTTTGTGTACCTTCTCTGGGGACTCCCAGGTGCTGCTTTCCTCTGAACTGGTTGAGACTGGATGGATTTGAGAAAGAAGGCACAGGGTCTTGCGTCCCTGGTTTTGTGATTTGTAACGACTTTTTTTCCCCCCTGACTTTTGAGACAGAGCTCACTGTGTAGCCAAGGCTGGCCCTGAACTCAGAGCCGCCTTCTTCTGCCGCCCAGGTGCTGGGATCAAAGGTGTACATTCTGGTTCTTAATGCTGACTCCGCATCAACGCCAGGGCCGGGTTCTATACCCAGACGTCCCTGACAGACATGGATGTCTACCTGCCCTTTACCCAACATCTCCCTAGTCCAAAATAACCATATGCAGTGCCAAGAGTACACGCAGGCATATACACACAGTGTAAGCAGAGAATATGGTAATATATTTGCACATTTGGCTTCCCCTTGGTTTTACAAAAGGGGATATAATCATATTTGAACCCCCTCTTGGTAAAACTTTTGCTGAAAATAGTGAATGGGAAAACAACGGAGCCGGGTGATGGTGGCGCACGCCTTTAATCCCAGCACTCGGGAGGCAGAGGCAGGTGGATCTCTGTGAGTTTGAGACCAGCCTGGTCTACAGACAGGCTCCAAAGCCACAGAGAAACCCTGTCTCGAAAAACCAAAAAAAAAAAAAAAAAAAAAAAGAAATAAAGAAAGAAAGAAAGAAAAAGAAAAGCAACGGAAATGCCAGGCAGTTTGGGAAGAAACTGAGATCCTAAATCTCTCTCTCTCCAGCAAGATGGTAATTTCTGTCTGAGCGAAACTCTACTGTGTGTTTTATTTTAAAGGTTTATTTATTTATTATGTATACAGTGCTCTGCCTGCATATATACTGGCAGGCCAGAAGAGGGCACCAGATCTCACTGTAGATGGTTGTGAGCCACCACGTGGTTGCTGGGAATTGAACTCAGAACCTCTGGAAGAGCAGGCAGCGCTCTCAACCCCCGAGCCAGCTCTCCAGCGCCCCCTGCTGTATGTTCTTGCTGCACCAGTGCATCGTGTCCTTGCTGTACAAACAGTGCTCTGGTGCCTTCTACCTAGTAGGTGCCCCATACTTGTGGAGTGGAAACACTCTGAGTCACAGCTAGCTGTCCTTCATCCATGGTGTGCCAGGGGCTAGTGTGCTCCTGTATTGGCCTCTGAAGAAGCCAGATGACTAAGGCCCTGATGTACCATGAAGCCCACAACCTGGTATGGTTCAAAGACCTGGATAAGGCATTTCCTGTGGAATGAGTAGCTGGGGGTTATGCACAGAATTTGGGGCCCAGTCCTACCAGTTCTAAACTGACAGATATCCACACTTGAATTACTCGTAAGTTTCTCCTAAAATGCCATTGGAAGCTGAGAGCCAGCCATGTAGTAGAGGGTATGGTTGTCCCCATCAGAATGAACCCTTCAGTGATAGGTAGGAACGAACAAGATTCTCAGCTTTTAAGTCATGCTGGCGCCAGCCTTGACATTTATCACAAGCTCCTGTGTCTGTTCTCTGCTCTCTCAGCCACTCCTCCCAGGCTCTGAATACCAGCTTCAGGCTCTCCTGACCCGATACGGCCCCGGGAAGCTATACCAGGTGACGAGCGACATCAATGGGACTGGGACTCTGGACTTGACCCTGCCACGGGGCCAAATTGTGGCCCTTCTACAAAACAAGGATACCAAAGGCAACAGCAGTCGCTGGCTGGTGGACACAGGGGGTATGTGGACCTCTAAGCTCTTCGTCCCCTTTTGGGAGAGCCAGCTGCCAACAGCTGATAGGGAGCCATGGATGCTCTTGTGTGCCAATCTGGCTGTGCAAATTCAGGAGACAGGAGGCCAGAGACAGATGCAGTGGCTCAATCTGCTTACAGTGACTCAGTGGTACATGAAATGCTGATGCGATTCAGGCTAACTCCCCATCCAGTTCCTGGATGCTGTGCAAGCAAGACTAGCCTTCGAGAACTTACATGCTATTGGGTGATACGATGTGTGGAAGGAACTTGAATAGTACCTTGAAAAATACAGATGAGTGATGAGAAGGGATGATCGGATTCCAGCCGCACTCTCAGAATCTGATTTAGGCCCGGGACAGTAAGATCTCTACTGGTTGTGGCCTTGGGATGTGCTGCTAAGGTCTGGGGTTCATGCGTAACTGGGATGAAGGGAAGCTCTAGTGTGAGCCCAGGCTAACAACATAGCCCAGCAGCGTCTTGTAAACGTGAGGGTTGCACAGGATTCTTGTTGGAGACCCACAGGCAGTTGTTTCGCTGTTCCACAGTGATAGAATAGCTACTTAAGCACTTTTATGTGTATTATAAAAAATGCAGCTAGTTCACAAGCTCATGATGGTATTGATATTACTCCATGGCATAAGGCCAAGCTTTAGAAAGCAAGCCAGTTTTTAAAAATTGAGTGGAGCAATGTATGGTGGTGCATGCCTATAATCCCAGCATTGGGGAGGCAGAAGCAGGAGAATGACCACAAGTTCCAAGGCCAGCCTGACTGTCTAGAGAGATATAGGGACCGTACAGTGAGACTTTGTCTAAAATAATAATAATAAATTTAAGAAATAAATAAAATAGAAAGTGGTACGGTTGAAAAACACATCTGTGGGGATATAATATAAGGACATTAGAGGAAGGTTCCGGGGTTTTCCTGCCTGGGTGATCTCAGGGAGGCTGAGCTCAGTTACATAAGCAGAGGTAGTGACAGTGACACAGACTGACCTCAGATTGGTGCTGAGACTGTAACTTTACCTGGGAAGCAGGAAGTGATGGATGTTCACGATGACAGCAGCTGGGCAGCGCAAGGGTCGGTGCTGGCCAGAAGGAGCCCAGAAGGACAGCATCACCAGTAGAAGGCTGCCCTGGTCCCGAGAGCTGGGGAAGCAGCCTTACTCTGGGTGGCCACTAGAGGGACACGAGCAGTAGTGCCACCAATGGGAAACAGTTGTCACGCCAGCCCATGACAGATGTTTCAGTGGAAAGCCTCTGTTCCTGGAGGGGTGAGCCAGCAGCAGATAGGAGCAGTGAATACAGGTGGGGCGGTGGGGGGAGATCTCAGGGTTCCCGGATGATCTTGTATCGTCCCTTTAATGCTGGGAAGCCAGGCACTTGTATTTACTGCCTTCCCCACCATTGAAAGGCTAGGAAGCTGACTGGCAGCCACTGAACCTTCTCCATGTTTCCTAGGACACCGGGGATATGTGCCTGCTGGAAAGGTCCAGCTGTACCGCCATATCATCCCCAGTGAGAAGGAGCTCAGAGGCCAGACAGTCACACATGAAGACTACTGGCTTCCAACTCCAGAGCCCACCCAACCCTCTGTCCCCACTGTCCCAACCGTGACCCAGGTGAGTCTGGGAGAGGGCTGAGGGCTTGCCACCCCTCATCTGCTTACACTAGGGCTTGGATCTTTCCTCTACAATTAAAGGGTCTGCTCCTGGTGAGGTCAGGCTGTAACCAGTGATGAGTTCTTATCCTGGCCAGGGGTGGGACCCAGACGGAGGGACTTCCCATGAGAACACCAGGGAGTTAATCCATCACCCCCACCAGCAGGGCAAACAGGAGGCCCCCATTCACTCAGCATTTGCCAGGTGCCTTACTAAATGAGAATGAAGGTGCTGGACAAGTTTACAACCTGGAGGAAATGGTGATTAGATTAACGGTGTGAGTGTGTGAGTAGATGCAAGATTCCCTGCTGTGCTAAGGTCCAGAGTTCCAGGAATAGAGAGTTAGCAAAAAATATGCTAACTCATATTTTAAATTACCCATCTCCATTATCTGTGTATTTCCATGAGGCTGTGGCTTACTGGGTAAAGTTTTGGCGTCTGTCTCTGGAACTACATGGCTTCTCTTGACTCCTCCTCCTTTCTCCCAGCATTCAGTTTAGTTTCCCCCCCTTCCATCACCTAGCTCTGCTCTACCCTATCACAAGCTCAAAACAGCTTCTTTATTAACCAATGGTATTCACAGCATACAGAAGGAAATCCCACATCCTAAAGGGTAGGATGTTGTTATTGACACTTGTAGATGATAGATGATCGCAATGAGGCATAGGGAAGTTAGACAGTAGTTTGATTAATGCTCCCCCCCCCCATTTTTTCCTTTGAGACAGTGTTTCTCTGGCTGACCTGGAACTCACTCCGTAGACCAGGCTGGCCTTGAACTCACAAAGATCCACCTGGTCTGCCTCCTTGAGTGTTGGGATTAAAGATGTGTGCCACCATCACCCTTATTGTTTTCTCATGTTCAATTTTTTTCCCCTAAATAGGAGTCATGTCTCCCAAATCTCACTATTCCAGGTTAAAAACTGGGCTGGACAGATAAACCAGCTCCCTAGATCTGCGAAGGGAGAGGCTGCTGAGGCTACCCACAAATGTGGCTGTAGGGGGTTCAAGTACACCTGTTCTACCGCGTGGTGGTGGTACATACTTTTAGTCTGAGCACTTGGGAGGCAGAAGCTAGAAGCCGGCAGATCTCTGAGAGTTCAAGGCCAGCCTAGTTTACAAAGTAAGTTCCAGGACAGCCAGGGCTGTTACACATAGAAACCCTATCTCAAAAAAAAAAAAAAAACAAAAAAAAAACCCTGTTCTGAAATCAGGCAGACCTGACTGTTTAGCTATGTGATTGTCATAATTGTGAGTTCCTGACTTTTCTAAGTCTCAATTTCTGGGGGGAAAAATGGGGCCACTACAGGGATGGCATTGTTAAAAACCAAAGCCTAGAAAACTGTTAGAACAATGTTAGAAATTACTAGCCACAGTGCTAGCAGGCATAACGTCTTCGGGGCTAAGAACGTGCTTGGGAAGTGATGTATGGCCAGCAATAAAGACTAGTGTGTGTGTGCAAGGACGATACCCTTGATGGACTGAGTTCAGCATCCTGACCATTTCCGTGTTGTCCTGTGTGTTTCAGGTGGTGGCAGCGTACCCTTTTGTGGCCAGGAGCCCCCACGAACTGAGTCTTCAGGCAGGCCAGCCTGTAACCATCCTAGAAGCCCAGGACAAGAAGGGGAACCCAGAATGGAGCCTGGTGGAAGCGAATGGACAGAGGGGATACGTGCCTTCCAACTTCCTGGCCAGGACCCCGGGCCCAGCTCCCTGGGGCTGGAGCCTGCCCTCTTAGCCCACCCTCTTTGGAGCCCCCATTTCTAAGGAAAGGGAGAGGCTTTAAGGCTGGGTGACCTAGCAGGCTTGATGCGAAGCAAATGGGGTGGGAGAGGAGAGAAGGGCATTCAGAAGGCAGGAGGAAGTGGTGCCGAGGCCTTACAGAATGCCTGGTGTGGGTGGCCACGTGGGCGGTCCCGGCATTGTCACTCATCTGCGCAAAGAAGCCACCTCCACGCTAGGACTTAGCTAGGACTTGCCGCAGCTTGAAGCTGGTCCCACCTGTGCCTCTTGCCTCTTTCATGTCTGGGATGAATGTTGCCTGTGTACCAGGTAGCCGCAGGTGTGGGCATCACTGGCTCAGTAGTCCACAGTGCTGCCAGAAGCCACCATTGCTCACCAGTTACCTTTACTTTCTTGTTTCCTCGAATCGAGCTACTGCAGACAGTGAACTGTGGAGAATCCTGCTCAGGGAGAAGCTCTGGGCACAGGCGGTTCTCCACTGGCTCTGGGAATGGATATGACCTACGCACAGTTCTGGAATGTGCCTACAAACCCAGAGGTGGTTCCAGGGAAGATGGGGATTTGAGGGTGGATTAGCAGGGTGTGTGGGGCTGATGGCAACGGTGTTTCCTATTGCTGTTTTCTTTGGACTAGGCCACAAAGGGACTTGGCAGTCAATCACAGGGGAAGCTCTGTGAGATAGGTGACTGCTGGCTTGGTGGAGAGGAATAGCTTGGTTTCCCAGTGCTGGATTGAAGAACCAGGGAAACTCAGGTAGCCTAGGTTTGCCTCAGAGGGTCTGGAAGCAGCAGAGAACCATTGTGAGGTGGATGTGGGGTCTTAGGCATAGGATACAAGTGCAGTTTTCCACCAAGAAGGAAGTAAGTCACAGGGTACAGTAAGGACAAGAGACTGAGGATGCAGAGGCCCCTTGTCAACCAGGAAGTGTGACACCCGTGCAGATATGGTCAGTGGTGTCAGGCTGGCCCAGTCCTTGGCTGGCCTGGGTCAGTAGAGAAGCAGTCCTGTCACCACCTCTCAGGTCTGTGCCAACAGTGCCCTCTTAAACCCATGCTCTGCTTTGAGGTCCAGTCTACATGGATTAACATTTGAGACATGCCCTGTTAGGGGATGTTGTTTTCTATTAACCTCAAGGAGTGTGCAAACAAGGTTAGGAAATCACTAGGTGATATAATCTCATGGGACCATGATAAATGCACAGTGATTGTCTGTAGCTGATGGAAACAGAAGCCCCTTAAGAGTAGATCCTGTTCCAGGATGACAGACCTACTGGGGCAGCGTTGGGCATAGTCACTACTGGACAATGTCCCTCAGCTGTTTCTTTAGGTCAAGAGTCATTGGAAGATCCCGAGATTGAAAAAGGTGACCCACTGTGACCTCTGTACAACTGACAAATTAGGGATCAACCCTCTTGAGCCAGAGCGTAAAACAGGTAGCTATTTCAGTGTTTTCAAGACGACATCTGACAGCTCAAGTGCCAGCTCTGGCTCCTGAAGGGCTCTTGAGAAAGACATCCCATCTGCAACGCGCCTCCCCTGAGCTTGTTAAAGCACGAAGCCTGTCTGACGCAAGAGCAAGACTCCCCAGTCCGTTTCCCAATCTCGGGTTCACTCCAAGATGTTCTCAGCCCACTTTTCCCTTCTGTTTCCTTCTCAGCCTCCTGGTAAAAAGAGGAAGAAGGGACAGCCAGGTGGCAAAGCAGGACCTGTACCTGCAGCTTCCACTCATTTTGGCTGACAGCTCACTGTATGTTGAGATTCTAGCTGGGGTTCTTAGCAAGCTGCTTGCTGCAATGACCTGGGTAGCTCTACGCTGCAGCAAACCAGGAGCCCACCTAGAGACAGCTGACGTCTTCAGGTTGGGTATGGCCATGGCCTTGGGCTTCAGGAAGGTAACCAGGTGAATGTCACAGGCAGCTGCCTTCAGGACCTCTGCCCTAGACACGCAGAGGTAAACAGAGGCAGGAAAGGGTAAGTTAGGTTGTTGCCCAGCTGGGCTTTACGCTAGCTGTCCAAGCAGGAAGCTTTAGAGGCAGTTTGGAATAGGACAGCCTGTTCTGTCAGGGCCCAGAATATGTATTTATTAAGTGCCATTAAAGGGGACCTGAACAAAATTGGATGCTCTTGTATACATAAGGGAGAAAAATGAGATACACTTAGGACCAAGGCTATCTCATGAAGGGGAAATAAAAATGAACTCAGTACATGCGGGTTATGGTTTCTCAGACCAGCAGTGAGATTAAAAGTCACTGGAGAGTGAGAGAAGGCATGCTGAGAAGATGGAGTGTGGCCTGGATTTTCTCCAGGGGACTCTGTGTAATGTGCCTTTTGCCCCCAATGCCTAGAGCCATCGCACTGTGTCTTATTTATTTCACTCTTGGGCTGTCACGTGCACGCTCACAAAGATACTTGCCTAAGAATGGAACAGAACTCCCAGGAGTTCACACGGTATCCTTGTTCCTCAAAGTGAAGACAGAATCCGTTAACCCGTTGAGATCCAACTTAGTTTAGGATGCAAGGAGATTGTGTTATTCAAGGGGAGATGAATGAATTCTTGGTTAGCGTGATGCACATGATGGGAACGGCTGGCAATAAAGAGCTTTCTGCCGCTGGCTAGTATACCGTTCATTCACCGCTCTTGCTAGATGTGAAAATGTGTCTTGTTCATTCATGTGTTTGTGTGTTGGCTGCACACCCTTGGTGCCTCCAAGATTTGGGCATTGTTGCTGGGTATACAGCAAGACATCAGCTAGATGAACTGTGTCATTTCTGAACCCACAGTCTGGGCAGGGAGGTAGACAAGTCGGCCCTCAGTTCTGAGTATAGGTGTCAGGAAAGGGATAGGGCAGAAGCTGGAGCCCAAGGGAGGTGCTGAGCTCTGACCTGGACTTGGTGACCGAGGAAAGCTTCCTAAAGGAAGTGATATATGACCTCAGACCCAATGAACACCTGAGCTTAGGTGGTCAGGAGAGCATATGCAAAAACTAGAGGTGGCAGCAGCTAGCAAAACTGAAAGACTATGGAGCCAGAATGCAGGGATGGAGGGATGTGGCAGAGGCAGTAAGAGATACGTTAGTTGGGGCCTGGAGAGATGGCCTCAGAGGTTAAGAGCACTGATTGCTCTTCTAGAGGTCCTGAGTTCAATTCCCGGCAACTACATGGTGGTGCACAACCATCTATAATGAAATTTGGCACCCTCTTCTGGCATGTAGGCAAACATGCAGACGGAACACTGTATACATGATTAATAAGAGAGGGGCAGGTCAAGCCAGCAAGGCAGAGAGTTTCAGATTGTCTATGGGAGCCACTGAAGCAGTTAAAGGAGAGAAGTGAAATGCTCAGGGCTGCAGTTTTGGGGAAATCACCTGGCTCTGGCTAGGTGCCTGATGCACCTATAGATGACGACACTTTACAAGGACAGAGCGTGCTACTTCGTTTCAGAACCTTGCAAGCCTCTGTCATGAGCCCCAAGTTAGAGGTGTCTAATACATATCGCATAGATAAGCATCACAGAAGGTGCAGGAACACTGAAACCCCATCTTTAGGAAATCCCCTCCTAACTGGAGGCATACTAGGGTCACACAACTCTCTGGGCCTGCAGAGTTCAGTACTGCGGACAACATAGGACTTGCTTGGACCAGGCTTAGAGGTGCTAAGACAAGGGGGAGACTTGGGGGGCTAAGGTGGTCATGGTGGGACTCACAGGAAGAGATGGGGGTAGATTTGGGACCTTGAAGAGAAGCAAGATTAGGAAACCAAATGAGAGAGAGATCTCCAGCTAGAGGAAGCCTGCTCTTGGGAAGCCCAGCACAGACACATCAGGGCAGATGTGCACACAAACTCACGGAGACTGTGACAGCAGGCACAAGGGCTGGACAAGCTCGAGCCAGGTGCCACCCCAACCAAGAAGCCATTTGAAATTAACAGCTGTCAAGAGAGGGGAGAATCAGAGTCAAGGGGTGGTGGCACATGCCACCATGTTTGGGAGGCAGAGGTAGAGGTGAATCTCTGAGTTCGAGGCCAGCCTGGTCTAGAGAGTGATTTCTAAGACACCAGGGCTACATAGAGAAATCTGGTTGACAGAGAAAGAGAAGGAAGGAAAAATCAATTTTCTTCAATAAAGTGACATTGGATATATCAACCATGCTCAGAAATAGTTGACCAACACAAATCAGTCTTTATGGTAGGTTGATGTTTTGTTTTTCTTAATTTTATTTATTTATCAAGACTAAGTCTTGTCAGATAGCCCTGGCCTGCCTCTGCCTCCTGAGTGCTGGGGTTAAAAGTATGTGCTGTCTTTTTCGTTTGTTTTTAATTAATTTATTTATGTTTAATTTTTTCCTTTGATTTTTCAAGACAGGGTTTCTTTGTGTAGCCCTGACTCTCCTGAAACTCACTAGGCTGGCCTTGAACTCAGAGATCCACTTGCCTTTGCTTCCCACATGCTGGGATCAAAGGCATGCACCACCACCACCCAGCTTTTTTTCCCTCTCTTTTTTTTTTTGAGGGGGCCCACCCAGCTTTTTTTCCCTCTCTCCCTCTCTCTATTTTTATTTTTGAGGGGGGAGATTCGAAACAGGGTTTCTCTGTATAACACCCATGGCTGTCCTTTGTAGACCAGGCTGGCCCAAAACTCACAGAAATTCACCTGCTTCTGCCTCCCGAGTGCTGGGATTAAACATGTACACCCCCAGGCCTGGCTTCTCTCATTTAATTCCTAACACCACCAAGAACAGGAATTTCTGCACAGGAAAGTTAAGTTTGGGGATTATGACTAAAAAGACAGATGAGTCCATTGCAATGGCACACAGGATCGGCACATGCTGGAGATGAAGTGGAGGTCGTGAGTTAGAAGCCGGCCTGTGCTTCAATGACGGGAAGAAGGAGGCAGAGAGGGAGGGAGGCAAGAAGGAAACAGATGAGCGAGCTACAGATAAAGCTGGGTGGTAGAGTGCTTGCCTAGCATGCACAAGGCCCTAGGTTCTGTTACAGGAGGTCCTCCCATTCCTCCAGCCTATCGCAGCTGAGATAACAGCCCATTGGGGCGTGGTCTCTCTCCCTTTAAAAAAGTGGCCACTTCCCTCTCCTCTCTCTCTTCACTTCCTGCTCCGCCGGCAACTAGACTCCCTTCCTGGTTGCGCAGAGGGCTGACGGTGATCTGTAAGTTTTTTCCTCTTTAAATAAATACCACCCTATTAATCATAATTCCAAACTGGTGTGGCATTGTTTATGACTTACGCCTTCAGTTGGCACCCAACGTTTGGTTTTAGAACCTCTCCTTTCCCCGCTCGGCTGCCGGCAGCGAGTTCGGCTTGGCGGGAGCCCTCCCTTCCTCAGCCGCCGCCTGTGCAGCAGCGGCCTTAGCCTCCCCACGTGGATTTAAACTCCACAGGCCCGCGTAGTCTCTGCCCGCGTGGTTTGCTCTTTTCTGAGTCGTTTTTAAATCTCCCTTGCAAGCACAGCTCTTAAGTGGTGCGAACCAGAGCACGCGGTTGCTGAAAGCTGCAACCCCTCAGGGTGACTCTGTCACGTGGAGGCTTAAGCGGCTTCCAGGTTGCTCTTCTCTACCCCTGGATTCTGGGTTTCTGGTTCCATCTCTGGAATTGATTTAATTACATTTACTTTGTTGAGCAACTTACATTTTCCAGTTTTTAACAAATACTAGGCGGACTCTGAAACAGGACCCTGTTTTCGTCGCAACTTGGCAACAGTGCCACCTGCTGGATAATAGGTAATATGGGCAGTTTTCGTTTCCAACGCGAATTTTACTGTTCTGGTTACCAATACAATGGGTTATATCATGCAAGGTTTATATGACTATGAGGATAACTTAATTTACTGGTTACTAGGTTTCAGTATTCTTTTGCATATTCTATCATTTAGGAAGATCATGGCACTCCTAAGAACCATACAATCTTTACTAGAAACTCATGCAGGTCAGGAGATTCAGGATTCAAAAGAGACAATAATAAAGACAATAATAAAAAGACTTGAAATGATTGAAGAAATAATTGGAGCTGGTGAGCAGAGTAATAAGGCACAAGGACAGGATACAATGCCAACACCAGCTATTAGAACTGGCTTACCCAAGGTTTTAGCGGCATACCCTATACTTAATTCTGACAAAGCGTCAACTTCTAAAGGCTCAAAGGGAGTCAGAGAAGCTAGATGGACGCCAATAGCAATGAATGATCTAAAAGAAATTAAGCAAGCTGTTGTTAATTTTGGCTTGCACAATGCATATGTAAAGGAAATGATAAGGACTTGGGCTTCTAATGCTAGAGCTACCCTCCATGATTTCCATCAGTTAGTGTCTGCAGTTTTAGATAATGGACCTTCCTTGATGTTTGGAATTTATTTCAGAGAAGAATCCAAACATATGGAACAGCAAGGAAGAGCAAAAGGTGTCGAGGTTTCCCAAGATCAAATTCTTGGTGCAGGAGAATATGCTGATCCACAGGTCCAAGCTCTTTATGATGATGAAGTACTGTGTCTATGTCACCAAGCAGCTTTAAATGCTTGGAATAAAATACAAGATCCAGCAAAAAGGGTTGAATCATATACCAGAATTAGGCAGGGACAGAGAGAACCCTTTATTGACTTTTTGCAAAGATTAATTAAGGCTGTGGACATAGGGGTAACAGACCCAGAAGCTAGACGAATACTTCTTGAATCTCTAGCTTTTGAGAATGCAAACATAGAATGCAAAAAGATAATTGGGCCTTTAAAGTCTAGATCAGCACCTATGGATGAATGGACTCAGCATACGATGAATGTTGAGACGTTTAGCTATAACGATGAATCTTGGGTAGAAGAAGCGATTTCCACAGCAATGAGGAGACATCAAACTGCCAGGTGTTTTAATTGTGGTAAATTAGGACATCTGAAAAGGGATTGCAGGCACAGAATTTCTAGGAATATTATCTCCTCTGGGAATGACAAAAATAGGAGACCTAGGCCTTCAGGTATATGTAGGAGATGCGGTAAAGGCCGACATTGGTCCAACGAATGCAGGTCAACAACAGACAAACAAGGCAACCTGATACCGTCGGGAAACTCCTTGCGGGGCCTCTCGCAGGCCCCCAAGCCAACAGTGGCCCAGTCATTCCCAGTCACAGTGGAGAATGTGCCTCACCAAGAAAATTAAAAGCTCCAATTTCTGCTGTAAAAAGTAATACTGGTCTAAATGATGAAATACATGTGGAGGATGAGTCAAAAAACCCAGTAGGACAGAGTAAATGTATATTTTGGCAGACTTCTATTAATGATCAAAGACCAAAGCTAAGAGTCTGTATAAATGGCACTTTTATTGAAGGCTTATTAGACACAGGTGCAGATGTAAGTATCATTACCCCAGAATCTTGGCATCCAAATTGGCCTCTTCAAGAGGTATATGTTCAGTTCCTGGGAATTGGAACCCTATCTCGTGTAAAACAAAGCACAAGATGGGTTGAATGCATAGGGCCCGAAGGGCAAATAGGAAGACTAAGGCCATATATAGCCAATATTGCCATAAATTTATGGGGCCATGACCTGCTATAGCAATGGAATACCCAGATTAACATTCCTGTAGTTCCAGGAACTCATGATTCTGGGAAGGATATGATGAGGTATTATGGAAAAAGGTCACCAGCCATTCAGGCTGTACAAGAACATACAGCAAATACCAAACCTTTAGAGGTACCAACAGCCCTACCTTTAAAATGGCTAACTGAGAAGCCAATATGGATCAAACAGTGGCCTCTAGCTGAAGATAAATTACAGACATTGGAACAGCTGGTGCAGGAGCAACTAGATGCTCACCACATTGAAGAATCAACTAGCCCTTGGAATTCTCCTGTGTTTGTTGTAAAAAAGAAATCTGGTAAATGGAGAATGGTGACAGATCTAAGAGCTGTCAACAAAGTAATTCAACCTATGGGTCCACTACAATCTGGAATTCCTTTGCCTTCTCTGTTACCAAAAGGATGGCCTCTTATAGTTATTGATTTGAAAGATTGTTTTTTCACTATACCGTTACAAGAAAAGGATAGAGAAAAATTTGCCTTCACAGTGCCTACTTATAATAATTCTCAGCCTAATAGGAGATATCAATGGACTGTCCTCCCACAGGGTATGTTCAATAGTCCTACATTGTGCCGATATTTTGTAAGTAAGCCATTGGAAATAATTCGTAAACAATTCCCCAAGTCCATAATTTATCATTACATGGATGACATCTTGTTATCTGATTCAAATAAAGATACTTTAGAAAGGATGTTTGAAGAAGTAAAGAAAGTCTTGCCTAGATGGGGATTACAAATTGCCCCTGAAAAGATTCAAAGAGGAAATTCTATTAATTACCTAGGTTACAGAATAGGGTTAGAGAAAATTAAAACGCAAAAGGCACAAATTAGGAGAGACTGGTTAAAGACTCTTAATGACTTCCAAAGATTGTTAGGAGACATTTCCAGTCTACGACCAGCTGTTGGGATAACACCTGATCTAATAGTTCATTTAAACAAAAACTTAGATGGTGATAAAGATTTGAATAGTCCAAGAAAACTGACAGCTGAAGCAGAAAAGGAACTGACAATGATTGAGGAAAAATTACAGGAGGCACATGTGGATAGGGTCAACCCAAATCTTAGCTGCATCCTAGTCGTATTGCCTTCCAGAATTTCTCCTACAGGGATTCTAATGCAGAGGGAAGATATTATTTTAGAGTGGATATTTATACCTAATAAACCAAGTAAAAAATTAAAAACTTATGTGGAAAAAGTCTCTGAATTAATTATAAAAGGTAAGCTGAGACTTCGTCAACTAGCAGGTATAGACCCAGCAGAAATTATAGTGTCTTTTACTACTGAAGAAATAAAAAAGTTATGGGAAGACAATGAACCGTGGCAAAGAGCTTGTGCTAATTTTTTGGGAGAAATTAATAGCAACTATCCCAAAAGTGGTAGACTTAACCTCATAAAAAGAACTTCTTGGATTCTTCCTAGAATTGTACGTGATGCTCCAATAACTGGAGCCCGTACGTTCTATACTGATGCAAATAAATCAGGGAAAGCAGGTTACAAGTCAGATGAATTGAGTAAGGTGGAACAAAGCCCTTATAATTCTGTCCAGAAGGCAGAATTATATGCCATTCTTAAGGTGCTAAGGGATTTTAAAGAACCTCTTAATATAGTTACAGATTCACAATATGCAGAAAGAGTTATCTTGCATATTGAAACTGCTGAATTTATACCAGATGACACAGAGTTGACTTCATTGTTTATCCAGGTACAAGACATAATCAGGAACAGGCTTTGTCCGATGTACATAACACACATCCGGTCCCATACAGGTCTGCGTGGTCCTCTAGCCCAAGGCAACGCTGAA